GGAAATCTGCCAGAGAGCTGTGAAATTGGTCGGATTGGACAATAAACTCCTATAGCTATTGTTGGCGTGCGCCTAGCTGCACATGGCAAGGCTAATGCAATCTGTAGCAGTTACAACTATGAATATGTAGCTGGCAGCGGGCAGGGTGTAGAGCAGGGAGGAAAGCTGGCATACAGATTTGAGAGCCAGAATGCAGCTGTGGAGCCCTCTGCAATGTGTCTCTTTTAATCTCTCTGAATCTGATCCTGCAAGATGCCAGCCTTCTTGGAGGGGAGGGGAGAGGTGGGATGAAGTGCCCTCCCTTCCCACTGATTTCCAGCACTGCCAAAATTACTCGCTCATCCTATCATGATAGGATGGGCGGGCAATTTGAGGCGGGAGCATCAGACTTTATGGCTGCTTCTGCCCAGCAACATCCCAGATATAAAGAGCCCTGTGTCAGGCTCAATTCAAAGGATTATTTTTTTTGTGTATTCTTTGAATATTGCATTGATGTCTGTTTGCCAAGCAGAGCAATTATGTCTGACAGAGGCAAGACCCATTTTTTTTTTATTGCAGGGATAAATGTGAGAATTTACTGGTCATACCTGGAGCTGGAAGGTGAAAGTTGAAAAGTCCTAATAATGTGGGTGTTATTAGGATTTGGGATCAAAGGAGCCTTTTGACAATAAATGACTGGTTTGGCCTGAATATTCCTGAAGGCTGACGGCTGTCCCTCTTGTGTCATCTCCCTGCAATACGGCAAACAAGCCGGTGGTCCCAGCTCGTGCTCCTGGTTGTCACACGTTGGTGTGAGCTTGTTATCAACTGCAGAAAGGTCAAGAACCAGAGAGGATGAGGGGCCAGATTTTTGAAGATGTTTTAGAGACCTTAAAATGACATCAGCTACATCATGGGACTGCAGAAAGTGCCTCATTTCTGAAGGCAGTGAAAGTCTCACCATTTGCATAGTCATGTGCTGCTGTGGTTGGTGAGTCTGGCCTCAACTTCTCTGCATCCCAAGACTCAATCCTGGATGGTGGGATGCAGTGTATGATCACAGCGTGTTTGGAGGCTTGTTTTGCTGGTTTTACCTTTGCTGCAGTGAACCCTGGATAAAGAAAAGAAGTCAGTGCCTCAAGCTGTAAGCCAGTTTCTTCTCATGAGTTTTAAATTTATTAGATGAAATAAATAGAAAAATACTGGTTTGGGAGACATAGTGAGGTTTAAAGTGCCTTACAGAGAGACGTTGGACTTTCGCATGAAAAATGCACATCCTGAACTCCAGTGAGCAATCCCTGTGGGACCAGAGCAAGCCCAGATGGTGACTCCTCCAAGTGATTATTTTTCTGCCTTAAGCCTTTCCAGGAATTTGAGTGTGGGCAGTCTGCCAGCGGACACTGGCTGTCCAGACACTTTAGCAATGTTCCATGTGTACTCGCTGCCAGAGATACCAAAGTCCAGCTGCTGTCCCTGATCTCTTTGTCCTCTTTACCTTCCCAGCCATAATTACACGCTTGTGAACGCACGCACGCACACACTGTGGCACACACACGCACGTACAAAGCGGGAGCATAACAACTACCTGGTGTTTGCCGCTTGTGATCGGCAGCTCTGAAGTTACAGAGAAAGGAAATCTTGAGAGTCAGAAAAATGACCCTGATCCAAAATTGAGAAGTGTACAAATAACAAACCCTGCAGCACACAGCAGAAGGCAGGCGTTTATATTTCTAGGCCAGCAAAGAAGAGTTTAAACAGGTCTTGCATCTTTTGTCTTTGAGACACTCTGTTTGGGTCATCTCCCTCATTTCCCTGAGCAAAATCAGTCCTGTCTTATCTTTGCTATTGCTGGAACTTGAATTATGCTGAAAGTGTACCACTTTACTTTTAAGTCTTGAAGTAGAAGTAGACTGTTTTATGCTGCACATTTGCATTTTTGCAAATACATTCCTGTGTGTGTTAGAGTTCAGAGCCTCACCATCAAGTACTTGGGGTTGGAAAAGTGGGGCAGTCTGCACCACTCTGTGGCTGTCTCATCCCTTGTCTCCATTAAGCTTGCTCATTCCCCCTGTGCACTTCCAGAGATTTTGGGCAGCTCTTTTGCTACTGGTGATGAAGAAATCACCCATATGAAAGATTCACACCAAAAGAAAACCCCAAACCCAAAATATTTTATATTTTATACTTTTAAGTATGTTAGCTTTGACTGGGAGGCTACCTAAAACTCAGTGGTTTGATGCTATTTAGCAGAACAAAACCTTTGCTTCAGCTCCTGCAGAGTGAAACTTCATCAGGTTTCAACCTGATCTAGCGGAAGGTTTCCCTGCCCATAGCACAGGGGGTGGAGCTGGATGATCTTTTAGGTCCCTTCCAACCCAAACCATCCTATGATTCACAGAGCTTTATAGCAGTACTTACGATGCAGAGAAGCTGAACCCAGATGCCTTAGACTTTTGGAACTAGTTTTGAAGAGCCTGGTTTATCTGTGACAACAAAAAAGACTGTCCTTTTTGGCCCTATGTACAAGCTCCCTGCTCTGTTTCAGGCTGAGAGGCCAGGCTTCTGCTCCCCACTTTTCCCCATGGGAGTGTCTTTAAACTCTGGTTTTGCAGGTCATGTTCATCTCCACGTGAGAATGAAGGATGGTCTGAGGCCGTGGCAAGGGGAGTAGGACGAGTGCCCTGCGTTGAGTGCGTCCCCCCACAGTGTCCCCAGGCAGCCGCCTCAGCCAGGAGCTGCTGACTTACCTGCCAAAGCCAACTGCCCAGGGCAGCCAGGGCTACAGTGAGCTAAAGTTAGCCAAGGATGACTGCGCAAATGTGAGCTCGGCGATTTTATTTTTAGTTGAGCTTAAAAATAAAAATCTGTAAGTCATGTGTAATATAATAATTTTAGCTGTTGCCAAGACACGCTGAGCAACTGTTAGGAGGAGGGGGAAGACCTGTGCTGATACAGCAAGGACCCTGTCTTCTGGCTGCCCTCATCCAGCCATGGTCGCAGCATCAAGGCGGCAGTGCTGGCGGGTTGGGGCAGGTTTGGGTAACGGTGCTGAGCCACTGCTTGGTGGGTGCCATGCTCAAGACATCACTGGCTCTTGCTCTTTTGAAGCTGCCTCAAGCCCTTTTTTCCTCCCTCTCATCTCGAAGCCAAGAATCTACCCCAAAACAGTGCTTTACTACCCCCCTCCCCAGCTCTTTGGCTGTTGGTGTTTTATTACTGTTTATCAATATTTAAGCAATGGAATAATTAACTTAAGACTGATTGTATCAAAGCATCAAAAGGTTTGGCCTTTTCCTGCAGGCTTACAGCAGTTTGGAGGACCATAAACATTAAGAGGGCTCTCAAAGATAGGTTTAATCTTAGCCTAATATGTCTTCAAAGTACTGCATACGCATATAAACATCAGGCTTATTGTTCATTAGAAGCAAGGCAGCAGGGAAAGAAATCCCCCAAAGGAATATTACTTGCCATAAGATAAGTATTATTACTGCTGCTCAGCATTCACTTTAAAGTAGGCTATATACTATTTCCACCTTCTTTCACATCCACTCTGAATTCTTTGTTTCCCATTTTTCTTCCATGTAATGCATGCTTTTCTTGTTAGGATGCTGGTCATGTGGGGTATGCGGTTTCTCAGCACCCATTCTTGCACACCTTTTAAAACAGCCAGAAATGTACGTAAGTGGTGGCTGGACAGGGGCTGGGGAAGAGTTTCATTCTCCATAAAGCCTGCTATGGGACAAGGCTAGGTAGGTTTCAGGAAGGTAGGGGGAGATGGTGAGCTTCTTTGCTTTCTTCCCAAGCATGATGTGGTTTAGTTAAGGCATTTTCCTTAGCCGATAGTAAAAGAGTCAGGAGGACTCTGTTGCCTTTGGGTGAATTAAGTGATGCAAAGCAGAAAATGCAACTGTTTTGCTCCAATAGCAAAGTCATATTGATATAAAATTGTGAGCTTTTACAGTGGTGAGGGCTCCTGGTTTGGATCAGGAAACCCAAATGTGCTTTTCCAAGCGCTCCTGGTGAGGCATCCACAGGACTGAGTTTGCACGGCATGTGGACATGTGGCTGTGGCTGTGAGCATGGTACCTGCAGCCTCCATGGTCAAAAACATCATCCGAAACAGAGGTATCAGATCCCACCAGAAATGCGGATGGTGTCAGCACCTGGCTGCAGCTAACCTGTGCGCGGCAGGGGGCTTCTCCCACTGCAGTCCTGCCTGGGCCCCTGTGTGTGAAGTGTCAGTAGCAAGGGGATTTCAAAGCGCTGGGGAAGAAAACCCAACCCACACATTAAAAACCTGGCTCAGAGCCATCTCTGGCTCTGGACTGCTGCTGTAAATAGATTGTGTTTTGCCAGGCTGGTAGATGAAGGGCACGTGTGCCCCTGAATGAGCAGTGGTGTGGAGGGGGACAGGGGCAGCTGCTGCCTCTGCAGCCCTGCCCAGTGTGACGTGAAGTCGCCCTGTGGGTGACTCGGGGGTTCGAGGGGTTCAGGAGTCATCCACCGGCTTCCCTCTGCATCACTAACAGCTACTTGTTGCTAACGTAAATATTTAGCACATGCCTGTTCCTCAGGGCTCCTTGCCATGCTCCCATGCTTTTTAGGACACATCAGGGTGAAGACAATATCATTGCAGGAGAAGCAGAGTCTGGAAGAGTGAACCAGGCACCTTGGAGACAGGGAGAGAAAGAAGAAAGTGAACCTTGGGAAATTCAGCAAGTGAACCTTGCTAAATGCGACAAGTTGTGGCCAGAGAGTTTCTGATCTGCCTAAAGCTTTAATTGTTTTCCTGATGCTTTAGCAGAGGTATCCATCGCTTTAAAGATTTTTTATTGTTGTTTACAGCGCAGCTGTCAACTGTTCCTTGACACGAGAGAGGCAATGCCTACTGTTTGTGGGGCTTTTTTCCCTGAGGTTTTTCTCTTTCTCACTTGCTGTTTCGGGGTGTCTGCTCATTCATTCTCATTTCTCAGTGCTGACAGTGTGACTCCCCCCCTCCCTTGCCCGCCCTCTCGTTGCAGAATCCAGAGGAGCTGTCGGAGGATTGTGCTCACGGGGAGATGATTCCTCATGAAGTCACTGGATCCCTTGCAGAAATCAAATGTGACTTTCCTTTTATCAGACTGAAATCAGAGCCAGCCAGACAGTGAAGCAAGCACAGTGGAGGGGGGACGGCGAAAGATGAAATCCAACCAAGAGCGGAGCAATGAATGCCTGCCACCTAAGAAGCGAGAAATCCCTGCCACCAGCCTGCCTTCGGAGGTGAAGCCGGTCCTGCCAAACGAAAACCACCGTGCGGATAACCTAGCATGGCTCCCCAGCACACCCGGCAGCCAGGGCGGCCTGGGAAGCCGGCACCGGCCTGGGGGGACATCTTCGGTGGAGGCAGGCTTGCAGCAGGGTTTGCACAAGTCGCTGTCTGCAGGGCTGGACTATTCTCCGCCGAGCGCGCCCAGGTCCGTTCCAGCTTCCACCACCCTTCCCACGGTGTACTCGCCCGCCCTCTCCCAGTCAGGGACCCCCATTTCCCCCGTGCAGTACACGCACCTGCAACACACCTTCCAGTTTGTCGGGCCCCAGTACAGCGGGTCGTACACCGGATTCATCCCCTCGCAGCTGATTTCCCCAACAGCCAATTCTGCAACTGGTGCCGTGGCAGCCACGGCCGTTGCAACCACTCCATCCCAGCGCTCCCAGCTGGAGGCTTATTCCACTTTACTGGCCAGCATGAGCGGCTTAAGCCAGCAGGGGCACAAAGTTGAGCCGCACCTGGTCAGGACGCCTGGACTGATCGCCGCTGGGTCTCCTCCACCAACCCAGCAGAACCAGTACGTCCATATTTCCAGCTCTTCCCAGGGCACTGTCAGAAATGTCTCTCCTCCAACCATCCCGGTCCCTCTGCACCCCCATCAGACAGTGATCCCACACACCCTCACGCTCGGCCCTTCCTCCCAAGTAGTGGTGCAGTACACCGACTCGGGGGGCCACTTCATCACCAGGGATCCCCCCAAGAAGCCCGAGAGCAGCCGGCTGCAGGCGATGCAGGCCAAGGAGGTACTGAACGGCGAGATTGAGAAGAGCCGGAGATACGGCATTTCGCCCTCTACCGACATAGGTCTAGTCAAAGCAGGCAATAAACCAGCTCCCCATCATTACGAGACCAGGCACGTGGTGGTCCACTCGAGCCCTGCCGAGTACGGCACGCGGGATTCGTCAGGTGTCCGAGCCTCCGTCATGGTAGTCCCCAACAGCAGCACACCCACAGCGGACATGGAGGTGCAGCAGGCCACCAACCGCGAGACCTCTCCATCAGCCCTCAACGACAAGGGAAGCTTGCACTTAGGAAAGCCAGCCCACAGGTCCTATGCTTTGTCTCCGCAGCAGGCCCTGGGCCACGAGGGGGTGAAGGCAGTGGCCACGTTGTCCCCTCACACCGTCATTCAGACTACCCACAGCGCCTCCGAACAACTCCCCGTCGGGCTGCCGGCAACAGCCTTCTATGCCGGGACCCAGCCACCAGTGATCGGCTACCTGAGTGGTCAGCAGCAAGCCATTGGATACCATGGCAGCCTGCCGCAGCACCTCGTGATCCCTGGCACCCAGTCCCTGCTGATACCAGTCGGCAGCGCGGACGTTGAGCCGTCAGGAGTCGCACCTGCGATCGTCACGTCGTCTCCTCAGTTTGCAGCAGTGCCTCACACGTTTGTCACCACCGCCGTCCCCAAGAGCGAGAACTTCAGCGCGGAGCCCCTCACCACCCAGCCCGCCTACCAGGCCACCATGGTGCAGGCACAGATCCACCTGCCTGTGGTGCAGTCCATCGCTTCCCCTGCCGCCGCGCCCCCCACGCTGCCCCCCTACTTCATGAAGGGGTCGATCATTCAGCTGGCCAATGGGGAGCTGAAGAAAGTAGAGGACTTGAAAACAGAAGACTTCATACAGAGCGCGGAAATTAGCAATGACCTGAAAATAGACTCCAGCACTGTGGAGAGGATTGAAGACAGCCATAGCCCAGGCATTGCCGTGATACAGTTTGCAGTTGGGGAGCATCGAGCACAGGTAATGGCAATGCATGGTGGGGTAGGGGTGTTGGACTGGGGTACACCCTGTGTTCCCCCAGGTGCAGCTTTCTTCAGAACATCTCAATCACTTTGGATCTGCACGGGGGTGGTTCTTTGTCATCCACACCCATCCATGATACAAACTATGGTCCAAAACGCATGTCTTCTGCCATGCCGGGGGAGCCACCAGGGTCACACTGGTGATAATTGTAATCTCTTGGATGTAAACCAGGACTTTTTTACAGTGGAGAACCCACAAGAAGAATTACATGGGTTTTGATTAAAATACAAAATGGCATAAGCAGTATGAGAGGATATATTTTGCATTTTGATAGGTGATTTTTACCTTCCACACTAGAAAGCTCAGGTTAGATTCAGCTCAGGTCCTACTCTTAAGAGATAGGTAGGGCACAAGGCAGTGAATTTCTGTGGCTTGAAAACTTGGAACTGCCTGGGAGTGGCTCCATTGCACACCTAAGTTACTGAAATGCACTACAGAGTTCTATGGAGGCTTCATCTGCAGATGGTTTAGACACTGCATAGCTTACATAATCGTGCGTTCAAGGGAAATTCAGAAAGAAAAGACATCTACGTGGCTGTGCTGTGCTTCTGACTTTTGTTTCTTGTTGGTTTGCAATGTAGAAAGGAAACCTGTAACTTTCCAAAGGTATTTTTAGGTTGAGAACTAATACATATTGATCATAAAGCATCATGCTGCTGCTGTCCGTTTTCTGAGCAGCGTAGATTCTGCTGCATTGAGGCTGGAGCAGTTCAGATGTACAAGATAGCATTTTGCTTCCTATAGGTACTCAGTCTAAATAATCTCATTGCAAATCTTTTTCGTTTGGTTTGAGTGCTGCAAACTGCAACATCTGTATCTCACTGCCGCACCCTCAGCACTGGAGAGCCAGAATGAGAGAGAGGGATTCAGGAGCTGGATGTGGACATATGTAGTAAAGCACCTCAAGCTGAGTTTGGAGAAGAAAAACAGTGATGGTACTGAGGAGCAGACACCAGTCTGTGGCCTGTCCTTCCCCAGTTGTGCATACATGGTAAATTGCTACATATGACATATCCTCTTTCTCATATCTAGCATGCAGATTCCCTGTGTAGTTTTGTTCATATATGTGCATGCATCTGCACAGCTGATAGAAGTTGGGCCTCTGGTGCTTTCACTATAAAGATGTGATATTTTCACCCCCCTACTGCTCAACTGTAATTTGGTGCATTTGGTCTTTGTGATGAGGAGAACTGTCCTGGGATCAGGACCAGTTACTGTAATTTGCCCTGGTGCTTTGAATAATGAGTTTTCAAAAGTAGCAATCTTCCATTGGCAGTTTTCATCTCACTCCTGCTTCTCTCCCTGCAGCCAGCCCACCAGTCCCTGCCCCAGCAGAAGAGGTACAGCTTAGCCGGTAGCACTTGTGTCATGTCTCGTTCACTGGTCAATGCAGGCGATGTGCTGTAGGCCTGGGCGCTGGGAAGGATGCCTTTGCAGGGGGTGGAGTGCCATCCTCTGGCAGAAAGCAAGCTGAGCCTGTAAAAATCCAGGGCCAGGCACATGGGTCTCACCCAGCAGTGGCACCTTACGGAGAAGCCTATCAGGAGCAGGCTGACATCATCGTAGCCAAAATACTCCCCAGCTGTGTTTCCCACCGGGGATGCTTCCAGAATGGAGGGCGAGTCACGTAGAGATATGATTAGAAACGAGGGTTTAATTTAGGTTTCCTGCCGATTCCAGGACTTGGGTCTCTTCCCAGATCAGCTGTGTCCCTGCATAGTGGGGACAGCTCTGACGGTTTTCCCTTGCCTGGGTTGAGACAGAGAGAGAATGCTTCTCTGTGCTTCAAGTCTCTGTGACCTCCCTCAGCCTAGCGTTGTTATATGAAAGCATTTAGCCTTATTAGCAGGTGTACAGCAATCATTACTTGTTAGAAAATTGCCTGCATGAAGAGGGCTTAGACTTCTTGTTGCAAGAACAGTATTTAGTCGTGCTGCTTTGAGCAGTGGCACCGTGGTGCTCCTGCACTTAAATACCTCTTGACTCCGAAGTACAGTGGGAATGTATCTGCGTGTGTAGTGTAGCTTGGCAAAGTATTAAATTACAATTAAGTTCCAGTTGCATACATACTTCTGGAAGGAAGGAGCTTTTCAAATGGTATTATCAAGGGATAAGTTGTAAAGAGTAAGTGCCATACAAAAATAGCATTGTTATCATTAGCTTGGGCTCACTTGCGCACTCTTCCCAGGGATCTCTGGGAAGTCATTATAATAGTGATGAATTTGTATTTTCAGGCTCTGTGCAAACATTAGCTAATTTTCTCTCCAATTTAGGGACAGAGGTAGGAGATTATTTTTTAGCTGAGCCTGTGCAACTGTAATGTCAATAGGGAAGTACCATGCAGCTGCTGTTGTATCCTATCACTGCAAGCCCACAGGAGCCCCTCCCCAGCACAGCACTTAGGCAGAAAGAGGTCATCCTCCCTCCTTTCCCTGTCTTCCAACCAGCTGACAAATCAAACCCTCTTCCAGGTCTGGAAACCTGGAGGAAAATTGACCTACCTAAAGCTTCATGCCTTTTTAGTGAAATAGCTGGTCTTAGCCCTGGAGGGATGCAAGGTTTCCATTTCATAGCATCCCTACTCTGGATTAGGAAGAAGTCAAATAAATATCAGCTGCACCAGAACCCAAAGTCTAGCTGTTATTCCTCTGCATTCAAGTTGCTACAAGAAAAGACCCATGGATCTGCATCTCTTTGCAATTCCACATATTATTCTTGTAATAACACTTTCATCATTATTACCTGTTGTTTCTTTTGCTGCCAAGAACAAGAGGAAGCCAGTAATTCACCTCCATTAATGTTAAGGCCAAAATACACAGGAGGTGCAAAAGGAGTTCTCTGAAATGCTTGCTTTTATCCCTGCATTTCAGTTCCTAATCATTCCTCAAGTATACCTTAGAAAGAAAAATGAACATACAGTTCCTAATTTTCCTTAAAAAAAAAAAAAAAGCAGAATCATAGACACTGGAGATGGAAAAGTCCCATTAGAGTGTCTAGTTAGTAGCTCAGGTTAGTTTTGTTTAGTGTTAATTTTTTTAGACTGTCATCCAGTTTAGTTTTCCCCTTGTATCTCTGCACACACACAAACCAATTATTTCTTTTTTACTCTGCACTCTCCTTTTCATTATCTTTGGCACTGTAACAGACGCAGAAAAAGAGATGTTGACTCAGTTCACTGCTGCAGATGGAGATCTCTCCCCGCCTTCCCCTCATGTGATCTCCATGGCCCCTGGTCATGGGGCAATAAGTCCTTTTCCTCGTAGTGATGAGGCAGCTGTGATTTGTCTTTGGATACATATTACTGAATTCTGGGACCACAGCAGATAAGAGCTCATGTGATAAACTCAGCAGCCAGTGGACTCGTGGATAGAGGTTGCTTCTCTTGAGGAATGGTGGGATCACATGGAGAGCAGTAGCCCCTAATCTTCAAGCCTGGAGGCGTTTGTTGTAATAATGATGTAGTTCAGCTGGACTAGATGCATCCGCTGGATGCCCACCAGACCACATGTCGTGCAGGGTGAAGGAAGGTGTTGTTTGGGGTGGTGGGAACATTAGGAGTCTCAGAGTAAGGGGCATCATGTGGGAGAATGGCACTGCAGAGACTTCTCTCTGTGAGAGGGAGAGCTTCTAATCCACCAGGCTGCACAGTTAGTTGTTTTTTGGACCCAAGGAATCTCTCACAGCAGCAACAAAGCCTTCTGTGGAGATCTCCACTGCTTAATTGCACACTGGTTCCAGGGCCGCTTCCTTCTCTTTGTTTCCAGCCTGCCACTCCTCGTTTCATCACATTTTAATAATACGGGGAAACCTGATACCACTTAATTGGAAAATGTGTATTTACATTTATTAAAATACAGTTCACTCAAACCGCTTTTATTAGGCACCTTTTCCTTTAGTGCTTGTTACGTTGGTTGCAGCAGCGAGCCCCAAGACTAAAGTTGCTGCGTTTCTGAATGATGGGAAGGGTGTTTTCTGGGCATCAGATCTTTCAGCACCTATCATCCATGTTCCAGCTCCAGCCAGGGTTTCCTGAGCAGTCTGAAATGCCTGCCTTACTTACTGCGTTCGGCTGAGAAATAAAATTACAAAGGGTTATAGAAAATCGCAGATACTCAGTGGCTGCACTGAACAGTTTTGTGTTTTCATTAGTCAGTCTTAAAAAAATAGAAATAGAAATCTAGTTTGCAGGAGGGCCTCATTGTGCTTGAAGAGGGACCAACATTTTCATTTCTTGCTTTATTGTCGTAATAACTGGAAAACAAGTTCCAAACTTCTTTTTCTTCTACATTAATCATGGGATGATACTGGGGGAGGGAGATTTAAAATTATTTTTTAGTGGTTTAGTGCAGAAAAAAGTTATGCACGGTTGTTTTTACTGAACTTTAACACTTTAAAGGGCTTTGACTGCTATTGCTTGTAGAGAATTGTTACCTTAAATCCCAAGTTAGCTGGGATTGTGGCTGGATGTAGCTGTGCTACATGCACACTGTGAACAGATCATGGGAATTCCAGAATTTCACCATCTTTATTATTTGGTGTTACTCATGATCACCACCGCCAATTCTGGGATTTGTTACAGTGATTGACAGTTCAGGCAAGTGTTTTGGATGCCACATGAGGTGAAAATGTGTTCACATCAAGAGGAACTTGTGTCAGCGAGTATGATGCACACAGGCATGTATGATTCCCACAGATACAAATGGCTTTTGACAAGGACGGGAAAGCAGAAAAAGAAGGAAAAAAATACAGCAGGCAGCAAGGAACAAAGCGGAGAGACATAGTAATATAAAGGGAGAAAGCTGTGTCCACTGGATGATCCATCAGAGAGCCCACAGCTCTGTGTAGAGAGCAGTTTCCATTTAAGTCTATGGGAGATACTGATATTGACCACTGGATATTGACCACTTCTCCCAGTTAGACCCCCTACTGAGATGCGTATGTATGGAATAAGATCCCAGACTCTCGGCAAATACTTAGGCAAATCTGGCACTTGAGTGTTTCCTATCCAGCGACATGGAGGGATGGGACTTTCATGGTTACCTCACCCTACTTTCTCCATAGTTCAGAACATAAACCAGGCCTAGAATCAGGTCCTATAGCTTACACTATCTTACACTATTGCCATGTGTGTAGATGACTCTTGATAGACAGTTGTGGTTCGAAAAGGTTTAATATGAGAGAAATTGACATGTTGGGGGTTATCTTGTGCCTCTAAACTGTTCCTTTTGAAATTCCTTGTATAGTGGCTTAACTATGTTGGGCAGGTGGAGTGGCAGGATAATGCATGCAGCGTTACTTGTTGGCCTAGTTGCAGAGGCACATAGCGTATATTTATAGACATCATAAGGTCTTTTTCTATCATTATCAACTGTCTCATAAACAGCAGTTGACTGCTAGTGCATGGCATGGGCTTAACCAGTTGGAGGCACAGTCAGTATCTGATGGGAATCTTTGGGTTTCTGGTTCTGAAGCCCCTGTCTTAACTGTGGGACATCCCTGATCAAGTCTTCTTGCCCAAAAGGGATGGAGAGCTGCAAGGGTACCTCCGGCCCAGCTTCTAGGGAGGGTCTAGCATCAGGGCTGCTGGGTGCTGTACTGCAATTGAGTGCAAGCTCTTCTGTGGCCATGCAAATTCATCCAAAGGTTCACACTTACTATTATGAACAAAGGTGTTTGAACACTGGAGTGCACTCTGCATCTCAAACTGCTTCTATTCCTTGATGCTGAAATCTGGGTTTGACGATACAAAGTCATGCTCGGTATGACAGCGTTACTCGCTTCCAAGGTGAGAGATGGCTTCACAAGCCTGCTGTGATGTTCCTTTCAAGTGAGTCTGTGTTCAGGGAGAGGGAAGGCTCTCCAGGCAGCTGGTATGCTCCATGCCTGCTGGGTGCCTCAGAAATGAGATGAGCACTTGTAATCAGGTGTTATCCTACCCTTTAGCCCCTACCAAACAGGGGTTACAATATGAGAACAGGATCTTGCCCACCATGGCTGAGAAGAGCTCCAAAGGGCACGGGAGCCTTGGAAGCAGAGCCATGGATATCAGACTTCAGCATAAGCCATCCTCTTAAAGTAACAGACTTCACTGGTGCCACACACAGCAAGTTAAAATCGTGTGCCAAGTGTTAAAAAAAGTATTGGTCCAAATTTCCTGCCCTCATGTGGTGTGCTGGGGCGGGCACTCGGTCCCATGGGTGATGAATTGTGTGAGGCCACATCAAATGTTTGAGCCTGCAGACACTGCACCATGCAGTGAGCATTGAACTGCTGACATGTGCAAAGACAAGCAGGTATTTAGGTGCTTTATCATGTTGGGACCTCAAGGCCCAGCATTCAAAAGGTCAAGGAGCAGTAAGCGCCTGTTGCTGGTCTGTTCTCCTGGCTGTGGCAGCTTCCAGTAAAATGGTTAGGTAGGATTCATAACCAGATGTGTTTTTTTAAAGTAGGGGGAAAGGAACAGAGTGCAGAAAAGGAGATCCAGTGTAGGAATTGCAGAAGGAGGAGAAATGATCCTCTCTCTCCCTGAGGAAGTGCAGGAGGTGAACTTAACTACAAAGCACGAGAGCAGGTGTGAGAAGGGAAGAAACTGGAAGGGTTAACAGGGCTGCTGGCAGAAGGCAGGTTCATGCTCCCTGCTCTTATTGCTACAACTCTGTACATACTCATGGCCTTCCCCTGGAAATGAGCATGCTTTCAATTGTTTCACACTGGTAAGTACACGCTTGTTTGAGCAGAGGTGAGGATGACGTTCTTGTGGTCACTTAGAAAATTGTGTCAGAGCAGAGCTTCCCTTGAGCCATCCTCTGTTTGGAAAGTGTATTTACATGTGGATGACAGGCTCTAGGTACCACAGGGGCGTGACAGGGAACGGAGTTTGCCACATGCCAAAGCTCGTTTGCCTTTTATGCCTCTCAGAGCAGCTGGATGAAGGTAAAGCTTGATTCACACTGATGCCTTCACACAAGTATGCCTGCTGAGCTTGGAGAAAGCATTAGCACTCATGTGACAAGGATAGGTGTGAAGGCTGCTGGTCAGTGTACTGATGTTGCAGAAACTGAACAGCACTTTTGCGATTTTAGCTTTATCCCTCTCCACGGCAACAAGTGGTGCCTGCCATGCACGTGCACACAGGTCATCTCACGCTCTCTCTTCTCTTTCCCTCTGTCTCTCTCTGTTGTCCCCTCTCTTCCTGCAGGTCAGCGTGGAAGTCTTGGTAGAATACCCTTTTTTTGTATTTGGACAAGGCTGGTCATCCTGCTGCCCCGAGAGAACCAGCCAGCTCTTTGATTTGCCATGCTCCAAACTCTCGGTGGGGGACGTCTGCATATCGCTCACGCTCAAGAACCTGAAGAACGGCTCTATTAAAAAGGGCCAGCCCATGGACTCAGCTAGTATCTTGCTGAAGCATTCAAAGAATGACAGTCTAGCTGGAAGTAGACACAGGTATGCAGAGCAGGAAAACGGGATTAATCAGGGAAGCGCACAGATGTTAGCTGAGAACGGTGAACTGAAGTTTCCGGACAAAATAGGATTGCCTGCAGCACCTTTGCTCACCAAAACAGAACCCAGCAAGCCCCCGGCAACGAGGAAGAGGAGGTGGTCAGCCCCCGAAACACGAAAACTAGAGAAATCAGAAGAGGAGCCACCTTTGACTCTTCCCAAGCCTTCTTTTATTCCTCAGGAGGTTAAGATTTGCATTGAAGGTCGATCCAATGTAGGAAAGTAAAAGTCGTTTGGGGAAAGGAAATTAGGCTATCCCTTGTCATTTTTATCCAGATTACTGTACTGTAGACTAAATAACCCAGTATTTACATGTTATCATCTTATTTTAGGTTTATGTTATAACCTTGTTGTTATAGTTGCAGCTGGTATTATGCAGGAGACTGGTGCATATGTTTTTCCACAAGTGTTTGTCAGTGACTAGGTTTATCGAGAGCTACAGAAGGGGCAGTATCTGCTTCACACACCCTTAGTGGAAATGAATGTGTTGTTATGGCTCCTGTTTTCTAACACCTCGAGTAGGACAGGGTCCAGCTGTGATTTTGTTTTCCTTTTGTCCTTGTTTTATTTTTTTGTTTTGTTTTGTTGTTTTGGTTCCTGTTCTAGGTTTTTTTGGGGGGAGGTCAGGAGAAGGGAACTGTAGCAGAGGTGTATGTCACATGTGGGTGCATGTGTATGTGTGAGCGTGCATGTGCGTGCATGCGTGCACGCCAGTCCCGAGGAGGGACTGCGGCTCTGTGGCGGGCTGGTCAAGAGGTTTCCTCATGCCAAGTGGATGCTGAGGACACAACCCATGGGTGGTATTGAGAAGGATAGGATAGTCTCTGATGTTTTCAACAACAAGCCAACTCTTACTCAAGGCTCTACTATATATATATATATATATATATTTGTGTGTGTGTATATGTATATATATATTTTTCCCCCCATGGGGTCTGACTGCACTGATTTTTATTCCTAAAAGCAACTGCCACACCAACATTTCCTTTCTGCTTGCTAGTGCAGTTCCATTGCCCAGAGTCAGCCGGCGGGGAGGCTGTGAGGCCTCCGCACCGGTCACCCTGCCAGCTTGTCCTGCATGGCAGGGGTGTGTGTGGTGGGGGTATTGATGCGTGTGTGTGGCTTGGGTGTGCGTGAGTGTGCGAGGAGGCCTGCAGCTCCATGGATGCGCCTGGCTCAGACTCACTCCTATTTCTGTGCAGTGTTAGACAAATCGATCGGGTTACGCCATTGACATTTGCTTCCACAAGGTAGACGCATACTGCCCCTTTGAGATCACAGGCATCCATGGTTTGCAGTTAGATTGCAAATCTTTAACTCTAGTACTGGTTTTAGTTCATGACTATGGACAACTGGTGCCACTTCTTTCAAATTGCGGTGTGACACAGGAATCCGCTGTTGAAGATGAACCTAGAATGTCTTTAAGCACTTAAAATGCTGTTCACACTTTATTGCTGAGCATCCTGGTCTAACACTCAGTACGTACTGTATCTCACTTTAATCTGCTTGGAAAGCAACAACAACAAACAAACAAACAAATCTCTTCAACACTGTAATTACATGCAACTATATAAAGTTTTCTCACAGGCAAGATGCTGAAAGTTTTAATGTGGTTTCAAAGGGATGAATGTGAATTATTGAACTAGTATGTGACAGTCATTGTCCACAAAGGACTACTTAATAGGAGGCACTTTTTAAACTTTAATGCTTGAGAAAGAGTTAAAGGCATATGCGAGCTGACATAATAAAAGGAAAAAAAAATACGAGAAAGGAAAAAGGAAAGAGGAAAAAAATCATTGTCCAGTGTTTTTGAAAAAGATGGACTTTAAAGAATCTTGCAATTTGCACATCTTGAGTTTATCATTTGTGTGGTATTCCTGCAGTTTTTACCTAATAATGTTGTGGGTTGGGGGGGTTCTGAAAGAGCATAAACAAATGTAGCAATTACTCACTAACCTGCCTATGCTCTAGGCCATTTCATAGGGTTATGTTCCTTTCAAGAGTTCATTTTTGGTCTTTCTACCGTATCTGCCACACAGAACCAGGTCCTACTGGGACACCTCTGAGAATTTTTCTTCAGACTTGCTGAGAGAGTTTTCCACAAGAAACATTTCTATACTTAAGCAAGGTGTTTGTTTGTTTTGAAAACAAACCTATTGTTATTTTATTATTATTATTATTATTATTATTTGTTATTTTAATTGCATTGTTTCCCATTGGAAAGACGACATTTCAAGAGTTTGGTACAAACCGAGGGGGGAGGGGATTCATGCCATTCAGTCTTTTCTTTCCCCAGGTAGGGCCGGATCCTTTGAGGTGCTGTGCACCCAGCCTCCTGCATGAGCCTCGGGGAGGTGCAAGTATGAAGTACTCCGGGGCTGAGCGCTAACGCCACTAGAAAGGTCCCGTTGTCTTTCAGTGGGATTGCGCTCGGGGCCCTACGTGAGCGAGCGTCTGTGTCGTTGGGTTTGGTTGGCGAGTTCACATCCTTCAGGTAGTTTTGAAGAAGCTGTACTGATTGATAGGGAGAAAAGGAAAGAAAAGTCCATTGTTAGAAACGCAGTAACCTAAAGTGAACAAATGTATTTAAAATCTCATTTTCCCTCTCCCCTGAAATAACAGTGCTTTTATTTAAGAGAAGAAATGTTAACCCCAAACCCCAGCTTTGACTCTGTGACTTGTTACTTGAAATTTAGCTCACACCAGACCTAATTGTTTTTATACCATATTCTGGGGTGTACCAAAAAGTTGAAATACATTTAAAATAGCTTGAAACTTTTCTTGAATTTCCTTGAATTTTATTAACCTCTCAGCAGGCTACCAAATAGCTGAGTGGGTTTCTTCTCACAGTCACACTGCTTAGTTAGTGCTTATTTGTTAATATTTCTCTTTCAGAGAAGTTGCTTAATCTTCCATATACTCTGCTCAGGGCACTTGCAATTTATTGTTTAGTTTTGTTTCCTGTTTTGTTTTTAAGCTTTGATGGTAAAGGAATAGAAAGAATTACAAGTTTTAGTTCACAGTCGTACCACTATTTCCATGCTTCACGTGTACTCGGGAAAAGAAAAATAATCTCAAGTAAAACCATATGCATACACATTTGTGGTTAATAAGGAAGCAGGGGCCTTTAAACTGACTGGATCTATTCAACTAACACTAAAAAAAAAAAGTCTAAAAAATAATAATAATAAAAAACCAAGTTTGGAGCAATAGGAATGTATTAGTTCTGTGCTTGTATTTCAGACTGAGGAATTCTAAAATAACTGGTTCTTTCCAAACAGTTGTCCCTTTCCATGCTTTGGCTTTTGTAGGATGTGCAATACTTTATGTGCCAACTTAGACTCACCCGTGTGGTGGTAGCAGATCTCATACCCACTTCTGATCTCCCCTCATTTTGTTCTTTTTTTGAATAGGTTTTCTTTCTACCTTTTTTTTTGATTCCCTATTAATAACTCCGTTCCTGTGTTGTCGTCCCCCCCCAAGAAAAGAAAACATATTAAGGGTCAAGCATCCCCTGCCCCGGAAAACACAAACCTTTTTTGTATTGGATGATAAAAAAGATCCAGGAAAAAAAAAACAAAGGAAAAAACATAAATGTATTGATGTCTGCGTGTCATCCAGGTGGAGTGCGGCTGAGTGCTGTATGGCATGCAGACAAATCCTGGCTCCCATCAGGGAGAGATAAGCCCCCTGGAGACCAAGTCCTTTGCAAGGTGGTGGCTTTGCCTCTCCCCAAAGCCCCGAGCATCCCTTGCAGTGAGTCCCCACGCCTGGGAAGTTCCATCGATCCCTGGGTGCACGCAGAAATTCCAGTCACTGTTGTAGAGATGCTGAGGCGAAACCCAAGGAGGAGGTTGAGCCGCTGCTTCTGCAGCATCTGCTTTGCAATAGTAACTAACAGTAGTTTTCTTTATCTTTCTGTCTTTTTTTCCTTTCTTTCTTTTTGTAGCAGGCCTGTTTAGTTTACAACGAAACGCATACAATCACCAAGAAATTAGTCAGGGCAAAGAAAAATAAAACAAGAACCTCTTTATAGGGATTTCTAAAAAAGAAAATTATCTATCTGTCTATCTAGCTAACCTATCTATATATCTATATATATATAAAATGACTGTTCCTTATAGTGTTTAACTTAGGCATTGTTTCAGTTTGTCTGGGCCACATCACGGGGGATTTGAGTCTGATGTCACTTACCTCGAGGCCTCTGGTCGAGACCCAAACCGGAGTTGCTGTTGACCTATATTCTCATTTCATACGTTGCCCTTGGGCTGGCTTTTCCTTGAAGACGCAGGCCTCGGGAGGAGGGGGGGAGACACCTTCCTTTTTTTATTCCTTTAATTCCTTCGTCCCGCTGTTGCTTTGTTCGACCTGTCGTTCCCGTCATTTTCTCGGCATGGGGAAGTGACATCACTACTCTCGTTTCCCTTAAATCAAGGAACATTTAGAAACCTTTCACACCTTTTACTCAGGGATGGGGCTGGCATATGTGTGGTACACTGATGTGACCAGAAGCAGCACTTTTACTGCTCCGGAGTAGGGATGTACAATGTTACAGACAAGTTTGGATTTCCTGCACCTCATGGTTTTAAACTTTGTAGATCTCACTTAGATTGCAATACAAAAGCAGCAGGCTTAGCGTGAACTGTAGCTGTCGGTAAATCACGAAAATTCACTTTCTGCAGAGATTTATTTTATTTTAATGTGTGTTGCCAATAGTAGAAAGGAAATGGTGAAATTCTGTTAATTCTTGCAACTGCTAAAAAAAGAAGCCTGTATCAAGGACAGCAAATCCTCAATAATTTTAAACACTAACAACAGTGTTATTTTAAAGAGGGGGCCTCTTGGGGCAGTGCTCTGCGCATCCTGGGACCCTGTTCTGCAAACACTTACACACGTGCATACAGGGGGTCCAGGCTGGCCGGTCAGGGCTGCTCAGGAGCTCACTGTGAAGCACGTGTGTAAATCTTTGTGAAACTGAAGCTTGGTTCAGTCAGGGCCAGATCCTGACCATAATCAGACAGATGGAAGAGACTTGGGGTTCATCCAGGCTCGCCAGGGCGGAAGCCCCAGGCTGGTAGGGGGGATTCGGCCTATTGAAACACTTTGCTGTCCTAGGAACTCGACAAAGGGTGAAACAGGACGTGCTCTTGTACAAATAATTTCCATTTCTTCCCTCCCCATCACCACAGGTAACAGCAGGGTCCGCTCTGGGCTCTGGCCGGTGCTGATGCGACAGGCAAGGGGAATGAAGGCACCACCAGAGTGCAGGCAGTAATTTCCCTTCCTCTGGTTTATCCAACCCTCCCACCCCCACAAATCCTAAATCCATAGCAAAATGAGAACTTGTTGATGCAGATCCGCATTCGTGCACACACACCTCCCCAGACAGAAGCGTCTGTCTGCACATGAATAAATGCGTGTGATTTGTTTTGGCACGTATGCCTACGTGTCCACTTGATTCCCTGTCCTGAGGACAGCCTTGCTTTGTGTCCATAGGGGAACTCCAAACACGTTGCACACCTCTACTCCAGAGTTCAATTTCTTTTACATAGACGACCTCGCTTCAGATGTGTTACCTTTACTGATAGGATCTTTTCTTGTAGCACTATACCTTGTGGGAATATTTTTTGATGTAAACCTAATTTGAGAAGCTTATTAAAAATAGAAACTTTTTTTGAAGCACTCACATTGAGGAGTACAGGTAATGTTTTAAACAATTGCACAAAAGAAAAATGAATGTTGGAATGATTCATTCAGTGTTTGACAAAGAGATGGCTCTGTTTGAACAGTGAGTTTCATACCTTGTTTGTAAAAAAAAAACAAAAAAAGTTTTTAAATACAAAAGCAGAGAAAGGTCGAAAGTTTCATGTTTTTTGTATATAGAAAATGTCATGTCTAGATGATCTGATTTGTATTGGCTTTGGCCAGGAAGAATTATTACTTAAAAGGCTCTTAAAGAACAACTGTGCTTAATTTTCTGTTCGTATTACATGGGTCCCATTTCCAGGGAATGGAGTCATGCTTCATACTGTTTATTCCTGTGCTGAAATATACCTTGGAGCAGCAATTCTTGAGTGCAGCTACCGGGCACTTCAAGGGTGGCTAAGCGTGCACAACCAGAGTCTCACTCTCCAGCTCTGTTTTGGCTTTAAGTCTCTCCTGCCTGTGCTGAGGGAGCCCCGGCAGCCCACAGGGCACGGCCAGGTTTGAGGGAGGCCTTGGCCGTGCCTTCACTGGCACCAGGACCTGGGCCATGGCTGGCAGTGCCGCAGCAGCCCTTGCTTGGAGAGCCGCTGCTGGCTGAGCACAACCTTCTTAGTTCCTGCCTGAAAGCTTTCGGTCCCGTGTTTTTTATCTTCTCTCTGGGATGCTGTTCCATGTTTTTTCAGCACTTCCTGTTCCAGATGAAACCCAAAGAGTATAACCCTGAGCAAGAAGTGCTTATAACAAGGGATCCTAGCCCAGCACTGGCAGCAGGGTGATACCTGAGGTGGTCCAGCCTTGCAGCCTCTGTCACTGCCCCACTCACCTCTGTGTTAGAGCCGCTCATGCAGAGCACGTTTCCAGTGATGATGGTCTTGAGCAATGGTGAGACTGGTGTTTTTCAGAAGCCAAAAGGAGAGGATCCTGAAGCAGTTTCTGAGGAGAGAGAGGGTCCTTTTCCTGTCCAAAGATTCAGCTGGGCAGCTGGGAGCCAGCAGCAGGGCAGCTGGGCTCTGAGGTTGCTCCCGTTCCCCTCCCCAGAGGTAACCCAAGCTTTGGCTCCCATAGGCATGCAGGGCAAAAGTACTTGCCCTGTCCAGGTGGTCCCTGGGCGCTCAGAAAGTCAGCCCCAGTTGTGTTACAATGAAGTGCATTCAGCCAACAGGTAGTATTTATACAATAACAGTCTCTAAGGTTTCTGTAGGTTTTTTTCTTGTCATTATCTGAAAGGACTCAAGTCTTCCACTGAGGATTTTATGATGGAGGCTTCATCCAAGGTTGTTTCCTTTTTGTTCATTTCTGTTTTGAGCGGTCAAAGCTCCTGTGCCCTTTCCCTCGACCATGCAGTAGGTATGCATTGGAAGCGTTGTTTGCAGCCAGCGTTAGGCACTTGTTGAAGCTGTCATTGCTGTACTACTATGGGATTGCTTGAAACCTCAGGGCTGGGATCCTTGGCTGGCACAGAGCCGGTGTGGGACCGCCGGCTCCCTGGACAGCCCCGCTCTGCCCCTTCGCACCAGCCAGTGTGGGGATCCCTCCCTGGTGTTTGCTTTAAAACTCGAGGACCCACGTGCTCTCTCGCTGACTACGCTCTGCAGAACTCCTGTCCCAGGCAGGCGAGTGGGACCTGTGTCACTGGGGGTGGCTGGGTCTGTGTCCTCTCCCTGGCCATCGCACTGGCCTCTTGGCGAAGTTACTGATCTGTTAAGGCATAGATAGGACTCTTCACGGCAGTCAGCTGATGTTGAAACTCACTAATGTTGGATTTCTCTTTTTTTGTTTTTTGTTTTTTTTTTGAATAATATATTAACGTTGAACGCTGCTCTTTTGGCAGTGTTACAGTGGGGGGGGGGGTGGTGGGGGTGGGTGTCCCAACCTTTTTCAGTTCGGGTGAGCTACTGAAAACCATTTTGTACTAGCTATGTCACCACTCCCGGCGCTTGGCCATGCCGGGTCAGGTTTAGCCATTCTACAGCAGCAGTTTTTAAGGTCTTTTTTTTTTCCTTTTCTTTTTTTAATTAAATTGTCTGGTATTACTAATGAGGGTTCTTGCAAATCCCACTTCCAGTGTAGTTCCTAGGGTAGGCCCAGAAAAAGGGATATCGCAGCTTTGTGTTGGGGAGAAGTTGAGCTGACATGGCCAGTACAAAGGAGAAATAGGGAGGGAATAACGTTTTGCACCTTATTGAAAAGAGGAGAAGATTTTAAGTGCATACAGACATAGTTAAGAGCTTTTATTGTGACAGGAGAACTTTTTTCCATATGCGTGCATACTCTCTGTAATTCCAGTGTAAAATATTGTACTTGCACTAGCTTTTTTAAAACAAATATTAAAAAAAATGGAAGAATTCATATTCTATTTTCTAATGGTGGTGTGTCTATTTGTAGGATACACTCGCGTCTGTTTATTGAATTTTATGGTCCCTTTCTTTGATGGTGCTTGCAGGTTTTCTAGGTAGAAATTATTTCATTATTATAATAAAACAATGTTTGATTCAAAATTTGAACAAAATTGTTTTAAAGAAATTGTCTGTATACCAGTACAAGTTTATTGTTTCAGTATACTCGTACTAATAAAATAACAGTGCCAATTGCAAGCACATGTTCTGTCTTTATCGCTTCCGACTGAATGGGAGAGCTTTCCTAGGGACGTTATTTCCCCAGTTTAATCCCCACCTCCCAGCAACCCATTTCATACAGCCACAGAATGGTTCGGGTTGGAAGGGACCTTAAAGATAAGGGACCTTAAAGATCACCTAGTTCCAACCCCGGGGTTGAGAGCACAAATGCTCTCAGATGCATTTGAGAGCGTTGCATTTGCTTTTATTCGCAGTGATGCAGAAACAGAGACGTAGCCATTCACGGGCATAAAACCCTTTCCAGACCCTTAGAGAGAAGCTCTTTATTGTGTAACAAAAACTTTCCACTTACAACTTACGAACAGTTTCAGGGACATTGCCACCCGCGGTTGCTCCCGGTGAGGGTCAGCAGCAGCGCCCGCCATCACCACCTCAGCAGGGCCAAGTGGGGCAGGAGAACACTGAATACTTGTCAGCTCTTTTTGACAGATTACACGCAAGTGCTTCACAGTCATCACAGGCAACACCAAGGGGTTTGGGACTCTGAACTGTTTATTTATGTATGAAAACTTCAACCGGTAAACACTGTTATCAAGTAAATGCTGGGGAGGGCTTGCTTAAGCACCTGAATGAGCACAAGCAAAGCAAAGGCTGCAGCAGGATGGCCCATGCTGTGCTTAAGGGCGCAGAGCTGTGCCTGCATGCAGCCTGGACACAGACATGCGGCTCCAAGCTGCAGAGAAGGGCCTGGCCTGCTCCCACTGCTGGCTCTGGCTGCTGCAGAAGGCAAATGGCTGTCCCTGGGCCTGAGCTTTTTGTTTTTCTCTCTTCTGCACAAGCAAGGCCAAACCTGGCGCTGGTTGCAAAAGCCCTCCCGGCTCCAACAAAGACCTTTTGGTACAAAAATGGCATCAGCAACTAAAACGCAACATCCCCAGGTGGCAGGGTGGGAGGTGGTGATGGACAGACACTGCACTAACGCTGGCAGAAAGCTGAAGGAAGTCTGTTCAAGACGGGTAACTCAATCGGCACAAACCAGGGAGTGCTTGGTTCAGGAAAAGCTTCAAACTCTCATTATCTCCCTGACCAGAAAACCCCAGCCCCTGGCCCAACACAGTGGGGCTTGGCTAATTGCTGCTGTGTTTCTTGCACACACTCCTCCTTTCTCCCCCTGCTTTGACTAGCTGAAGGGAAGATACAGGCACACTTTGTCTTAAGCTCCTCCAAATGTGAGCAGCAGCTCCTCCTGCTCCTACTTAAAACTCAACTCTTCTTACTTACAGGGTGGCCCCAACCCACATTCAGCCCCACCATGCCCTAAGGTGAGAAGGCAGCTGCAGAGAAGAGCACAGCCAAAGCCCCTGCCTCATGGGCGAGAAGGGAGAGGCCCAGACCCCCTGGGTCCCTGCACTTGTTTCTTTCAGAGAAAGGAGACCTGGGAGGCTCGGTTTGCAGCTGTCAGGGTGCTGGCTCAAGCCCTACTCCTCCAACAGGCTAGCCTCAGGCCCACAAGGAGGCCTACGCACGCGCTCCTCGCAGCCACCACACAGGCACTGGGGTGTGAGCCAGGCTGCTGCCATGCCAAGACCTTCCTGCCTGTGAAGGGGAGCACCCAGGTAAGCCAGGCTGCATGGGGAGGAGAGCCAGTCAGCCCTCCCGGACAAACACCCTGCAGCAGGGAGAGTCCAGAATATGGCTGTGAGCAGGAGGGCTGGTTTGGGTGTCCTTAGGTTTCAAGAAGTCGGAGGTGGACACGCTCAGCACAGATTGCTTTAATGACATTAGCCCTTTTCAGCATCCCCACTTGTAGGTCTTCGGCATGTTAAACTAAATCACTGTGGAGCCAGGGGGCCAAACCTTAACAGAGCTCTTGGGTGCTCAGCAAGTGCCTGGCTGGGGAAAGCTGGCATGACCTTGGGCTACATCATGCAAGCAGCAGGTTATCCCGCTCACAGCATTCCTCTAGACATGATGGGGTTGGGGTGGGGTAGCGAATCACTTAACACTAAACGCTTACAAATGTCATTTACCACAGAAGGACACCAAGTAACACAGAACCCAGTTAAATGTGCAGGTGAGGTAGATCCACAAATGGCACGTGGTGTTTGTCAGTGGTTGCGGTCTCTTCTCAGACCACCCTGCCAGGCTCAGCATGCCCTCAGCTCCCCCACTGTCCCAGCTCCTGTGAGAGCGGCACCAGGCTTGAGTAGGGCACAGGACCTGGGGCTAAATGAAGGACAACTGCTACAGCACAGGACTGGATGTTAAAGGAGGGCTCAGGCTTTTCTTTTTTTCAGTTTTCCAGCCTGAGGGCTGACATGTACAGTGTCAGTGGTGAGCACTGACACGGTTGAGGGTTATCCCTGAACAAAACTTGCATATAACCTTCGGTGAGATGCAGACATGCCACCACGTCAGCCCTTCTGCAGCCACTCTCTACCCCTCACTCACTTTGGAGTGAGAAGGAGAAAATGAAATGGAAAGAAAACATGCTGCTTATCAAAATGATGGGAAGAGCTGCTATTCAGAAAACCAAATAACCCAGGTCAAAGCTTTATCAGTAACTATCCTTAGCATCAATGTCATTCACAGCCTGGAGAATTCAGGGGACAACTTCAGTGGAGCCTATCCCCATCCCTCCCTACAGTCCCTGGTCAGGCGGAGGTATGTGTGAAAGGGGAAGGCAGGTGGGTGCAGAAGTGGCCCCAGGAAGAGCTGCATGTACATGTACAACCTGCCTGCGTGGGAGGCTCCACGCCTGCCGCACCTGCAGAGAGGCAGTCTCCCCGTGTCCCCAGTGCCTGCCCTTTGGAAAAGAAATGGCTCCAAAGACCTGTCACGAAGCTGCTCCATTCAATGTGCGTATGGAGGTTTTAAAAAATGTTTACAAATATATATTTTTATATGCATTCCTTAAACTCTTGTTTAGAAATGTAGCTAAAAAAAGTAGAAAAGCGCTAGCCAGAGTAGGCGGAAGACAGCAGACTGCGGCTCTTCCCACGTATGAAGGCACGAGCGTGGAAACACACCTGTGGTCAGGCCTGCACCACAATGGTCTAACCCCACTGCTGACAGAGGTGTTCACCCTACCCTTCATATCACATTAAACAAAGGAATGGTGACCTCCTGCAGCTGTACTGATGCAGAGTATTAATACTGCCTGTCCTCTGGGCTTAATGCAGGTGAGAGTAGTATGTAGCACACGGTAGGGTTTGTGGTAAACAAACCTGGTATCTTCCTAACTTGGTATTTTCAGGCAGGAGAGAATAGCGATCAGGTCCTTTATTCACAGGGCCTTCTTCTCTTCTGCCTTCAGGTTCCTTTATGATATGTGGGCAGGAGAAAGGGTCCTTAAAGGCAGCACAAGCATAAATCTGTGTTTTATACTAAGGCCCTTATCCACATCCAAAGCCCAGGAAGGGGTCATACCACACTTATGGCCTGCATGTTAGATGGAAGATATTTAAAATACCAGGCTATTTAGAAGATGTTCTGTGCTTTTTTCTAATGTGGACAACACACTCTAAAATCACCAGGGATCAGCTTGTGGCCTAGATTTGCTCCTCAGCATGGTCAATTGTACCAGTCCTTGTGCGTGGCTTTTTGAGATGTCCAGCAGATGAGTTTAATTCTAGAGTTTCTTTTTGCTGTTCCTCTTCCTGCAGATCACTCTTTTGCTTTTCAAAGGAAGCCTGCCTCTTCCCACAGATGTCTATAGGAGGGGAAAGAAGATTCTGCAGTACTGAAGTAACATTAGCTCTATTATGATCTCAGCAGCACTTTAAAGTAAGTGGCCAAGCATTATTAATTCATTGGTGCTCACTTTCACATCATTTATCATAATGAGCTTCTACAGTACTCATGTGGATGCAATGTGTATTTCCAAAGAAATTTCATTGTGATTTATCTATTAATTAGTGGGCCATTACACTTTATTGAAGTGTTACCCAGAGCCTTAAGCATTCATTACTGCCTTCAGAGCAAATGCTTTAACTTCAGCTCAGCCTATCAGTGTCAGGCTATTCTGCCAAAAGCTCTTTTGCTTTTCATGGTGTCAAGCACTGCAAAGGACTGGTACCAAATAACCAAAGTGAATCTGATCCCTCTGGCCGCATTCACCTGGCCACACACAATGCACAGCACAGCATTTATGTATCTTTGCTAAATGGCTATGAATAGGCAACGGAACAGTGAGGGCTACAGAACACCCCCCCCCCCCCTTGGTGAGGTTGATGTTGCTGAGTTTCAATGTCTTAAAAATCTGTTCACAGAGAGCAGATAAAAGCAAGAACCCAGGTAATTCAATGGCTGCATGCATGAAAAAGCAGGCAAGCTCTGAGAGGTTTTCTCCTGAACCATCTCCACAGATGGGGTCAGAGAAGACAGTACAGGTTAGCTGCATTCACTGCCAGCTTCTCTGGAGAGGCAAGTCCATTGAATAGGGAGATTTAGGTAAAAGTGACAGTACCAGCCCTGTGAACTGGCCATGACAGATCTGGCATGTTTATCATCACAGTAAGAAGTCCCCAGCAGTCAAGCCTGATCCACCTCTGAAATTCTGCAGGCTGGCAGCAATGCCACAAACAGCCCTTCTTTCACCAGAACAAAGATAAGGAAAATTGGATTTTTGGTTTCTCCACTCAATTCCTTGCGTCTTTTTCTCTCCCAGTCTGTAATTTCTGGAGGGTGCACTGCCACAAGTGGTGGTAGGTGGCAGGTCAGTCTTAAAAAAGGGAATGTGTATGTATGCAGATCTATTAGCCATGTCTGTACAAGCCAATTCCTTGTTAACTGAGGTTTCAACAGCCATTTATCAGAAGGGGGAAAAAAACAGGTGAAGAAATGCTGACTAAAAAATAAAATAGGCACAACAACAAAAGATGAGGCTATTGCATTTAGAAACAATGGCACTGTCTTAACAGCATAACCTTCCCCTTCCAAATCCCAGCCATAGCCCCTCCAATGGCTATGACACTGCCATTCTGAGAGAGAGTTTGCCACTGACACAACAAGGAAGAGAAAGCAAAACAAAACAGCAGCCCTTCCTGCTCCTCCCCACCACCACTCTCTCTCCAGCTCCCCAGTCCGGGGCTAAGAGAAGACCTGGCTGTGCTGCTGGGTGACTCGGATAAACGTCGTTCTCCTGCTCAGTTCCTTCAGCTTGGCAGCTCCCACGTAGGTGCAGGTGGAGCGCAGCCCCCCAAGGATGTCCAGGATGGTGAGTTCCACATCCCCTCGGTATGGTACCTCCACAGTTCTGCCCTCAGAAGCTCTGGAGAAGAAACAGGTTACTGCATTTATGTCTAGATGTGAAACGTAATAGTGTGTTTACTGGAGCAATGTGGAGCTTAATACTGCAGTTTACAAATGTTCCCCCAGCTTTATTGCTTGCTTGCCTGTTGCTGCTTGGTGCTCTCAAGCACTGAAATGCCTCAGCTCCCGTTACCACCAATACTGTGAACTAGAAGCAGACAAATATTGTAGATGCCCCAATATCCCATGTGTATATTGACAGATCTGCCCCTTCCTCCCTTCCACAAACTGCCTACAAGCAAGTGAAGCTTCCAGGTTTACTGAAAGACAAACTTGACCTTGAGAGCTGCAAGCTTTAAAGAACAGCCAAGCTCAGACAGCTTACAGAAATGTTGAAGTCTACCTCAGTCAGCAGAGCTCTACAAAGGCTTCACAGCTCCTGGGCTCTCTTATGTCACTGACCTGACACAGATGGAACTCCTCTGGCTGTCTCTTACCAGCCCACAGAGCCCACAGAGATGGAGTGGGAAACCTGCTGCAGAACTGTCCCCTGAAGCTAAAAGGTGAGCTAGCAGAGCTCAGAGTCAGGCAAAAAGGCCAGAAACAATAGCAGTGCTGTGAATACTGTCAGGTATGGGCACATGCCAGCACACACTGCACAGTTCCCAAAAACACATCTGAAGAGTGTATGATGGAAGAATCCAGGCAAGTAACTCCTTCCCCTTCAGCTTTCTCCAGCCCCATGTTCAGCAATCCATCCTGCAGTAGAGTTCACCAGTCACCAGCTGATCTCACTAGGCTTTAGAGCAAGCTTGTTCTGCATGGCACACCTGCGCCCTTGGAGAGGCAGGCCTTGGAAAGGGGGGCATCAAACAGAAATGCAGGAGATGGGATTGCTCCCCTGCTTCCCTATAAAATGGAGGCAGAAATTGCAGTAGGGTTCTATCATTGTTGGAAATGTGGCTTTATTTAATTCTCCCTTAAACAAGTTGTCTAGGGGACAGTGCAAGAAAGAAAAAACATCCTTGTTTGGAGGGTCCATTTGCGAATCATTAACAATAGCAACAGCAGCTATGTGCAGGTACTTCAGTGTGAGCCTGGCTATATTTCATTCTGTTAGTTTAAATGTAAGGTCAAAGCCTTAGGGAGGCAATAAAGAAGTGTTAGTATGCCATGGGAATAAGGAATTGTGATTAATCTCCCTACATCTGATGAGTGACTCTTTCTTAAATAAACACTGTAATAAGTGGCCAATGGAAAATGTATGTACCAGACTGCACAGGGCACAGTGGTGCGTTGTATAGCCTGTGCTTCAGGGAGTTCACAGGCAGCTCCAGTGCCAGCGGGGAGAGAAGGCCTGGCCCACAGAACAACACAAACATAGTCATGCTACCATTCTGCAGCCTGGGTTTTGGCCATGCCCACCTGGTCCAGTCAAAGTCAGGAGGTTCAGCTTGGGCTCCTGGGTGCTTGTTGCAAGACCACAGTGCAAGAGACAGTGCATGTCTGAGATCTGGGGAAAACAGCGTGAATTTTACCTACCAGACTCTGACATCTGAAGAGCTTTGCACGCTGCATTAGGCAAGAAATGCTAGGTTTACTGCATTCATTCATGACTGTCCATTCAATTTATGCATGAGAGTCCAATTAATTTATGCATGAATGCCCCATCAGTTCAAAAGTGTACCCTGTTAATTCATGCTTGAGCACCAGGTGGGGCATGAGTTGCACGGTTTTGAGCAGAGAGCTGATTGCAAACAAAGGCAGCCCCAGTTAGAGTGGTCCAACAGACCTGCAGGGATGAGAACATTGCTCTCAAGAGTCTGACCACCTGGTGGTCCTTTTTTCTGAGCAGAATTACAGCAATGTGGGGTGCTTTCAGCCATTGCCCCTGGGAGATGTCCCTGCAATGACTACAGTGCTGTTAGGAAGCTGGAGCTTGTGGGATGCAACTTTTGGCCTTGGATACTAAAACCTACAAAAGTGGTGAACATCTAACATCACAGCCACAAATCTGTAACAGCTAGGCAGGTGCTGCTGCTCCTCCAGGATCAGCTGATAAGCTGGTGGGATGTCCTGTTGAACAAGGAGTGACCTACAGATACTGTACTGGGGGAAGCATTAGCTGCACAGAAGATGTCAAGTGTCCAGTTTTACATTCATCCTTGAAAGTAACTGTAAAGAAGTGTTGAAAATTCTCCATGCTCCCACCCTACATGCTAGGAGTAACTGATGCTCCAAAAGGAAAAGGAAGCGTATAGGATGGAAGTGGGACAGAAATCTAGAGCTGTGAGTTAAGCAACTGCAAGCACAGCATAAAAGGTCAGAGTTTAGTTAATGTTGTTTGACCATGGAGTAAGCCCCAAGAGACCAAAGCTCTTTGGTGTGTCATCTCATTCCCCAGATGGGGAAATGCCCTACTGCTGCATGTGGATACTCTTCACCCTAACCCATCCCCCATTTTGGATATAAATGAAGCCCTGCAGCTACTGAACTCATGACTCTATTGGTACCTTGTGGTGGTTTAACCCCAGCCAGCACTCAGCTGTAACACTCAGCCGCTCGCTCACTCCCCTGGTGGGATAGGGGAGAGAATTGGAAGAGTAAAAGTGAGAAAACTTGTGGGTTGAGATAAAGACGGTTTAACAGGTAGAGCAGAAGCCACGTGCAGAAGGATTTAGGATGAGAATCATGTTGATAACACATTGATGTTTTAGTTGTTACTAAGCAATACTTATTATAAGTCAAGGCCTTTTCTGCTCCTCACACCACCCTACCAGTGAGCAGGCTGGGGGTGCACAAGAAGCTGGGAGGAGACACAGCAACACAGCTGAACCTAACTGACCAAAGCAGTATTCCACAGCATATGATGTCATACTCAGCATATAAAGCTGAGGCAAAACTGGCTGGGGACCACTGCTCAGGAACTGGCTGGGCATTGGTCAGCAGGTGATAAGCAACTGTATAGTTGTTTTGTATATCTTACAACAACAACAATTAAATACTACTATTAATAACAATATTAACAATATTATTAATAGTGATTATTAATAATATTGGTTTATATTAACACTATTAATAAAAGTATTAGTATTATTTAAATAACCCTTTTTCCCCTGTCATATTAAACTGCCTTTATCTCAACCCACAAATTTTACTTCTTTTTTGTCAACTCTTTCCTCCATCCCACTGTGTTGGGGAGGGATGAGTGATCAGCTGTGTGATGTTTAGCTCCCTGCTAGGTTAAACCACAACAGTGGATTACAAGGGATGTCACAAAAGCTGGTACACTTGGCAGAGAGCTGCATAAGCAAGTCAACGGGAGCCGCTGAGGGATTTGCAGCTCTGACATCTCTCCCAGAGTTATGACCTCAAACTAACCTTATCTCAGAAAAGAAATGGGAAGACAGAGCAATTGGGACTCCAAACAGCTGGAAAGGTGTGCTCTGATGCTCTCAGCAGAGACTCTGTGTCTCTCATTAGCCCCTGAATGGTGAGTAGAAAGGGAGAACTATTTGCTTGAGACTTTTTACACAGGTCCAGTGGGGCGTCTGTAACTCCTGGCCAGCTCAAGCCTGCTGCTGGCACAGAGGGATTGGCACAGTGGCTGGAAATTCTGGCAGGGTTAAGGAGGGGAAGCACATGTGCTGGTGCTCTGTCAGCCTAGCAAAACACGGGTAAGACTGCCCTGGCATGAGGAGACATTATGAGTGGATCATTTAAGAAATGGCAGAAACTGAGGGCAAGTCTTCCAGGCTATCATCTGGGACACAGAAAAAGACAGTAAGTAGGAGCCAGCTGCTGATGCTGTTCTGTCTCTATGGCCCAAATTCCACTCTACAGTTAGTATAAAATGCCAAAACCCAGCTTAATAGCAGCTGTGAATTGCTGAGTGACCACAGTAGAACTGCAGCATTCACACAAAACCTATAAAATCTCAAAAGAGTTAACAAAAGCAAATTGGCTCTAAGTGAAAAATACTGCATGTGGTCTCTGCTCCTGCTTGCCTTATTTCTTTTCTCCCATAAAAAAAACTTAATCATTGCCTTTCAGAAATTCCCAGCTCTAATCCATGTTCCTCATGGAAGGAGGTAAAAATGTAAAAATAAACCAATAAATAAATAACATAAAAGTAATGAAACTGGGTAGACAGATTTCATACAAAATTAAATGGATCAACCTGACATATTCATTACAAAAACAATTACTCTTACAACTTTATTCCCTGCTACTGCCATCTCACACTACCTGTCAATTTAACTATTTGCTGGAGGCTCAGATTCTCCAGCCAAAACATGTAATTCTGAGAAGATGAAGTTTGTGACAAGTAGTCTTATTCAGCAGGAGGCTGAGCACACTGAGCGCCCCACTGCTTGAATAAAACATGGTGAGCACACAGGCTCTTTTAAAGACAAAACAGCTTATTGGGGTCACTGATACAGACTTACAGCTGGGCTTTTTAAATGCATATGAAGAAGCCTCACTGACCTGACCTGTCTGGGGTATCCAGCATTCAAAATGCTGACTTAGAAACGTTTTGGTTCAAGTTTGCAGTAAGCTAAACTAGTAAGTGACTACACTTCCTGCAATTTTTCCTATAAGAGCAATTCAAAGCAGAGCCTTGCTCTGTTTCTTGTCATCCCTTCAATGTCAAGTACATTTACACTGCTGGATAACTAACAGTTGCTATTTTTAAACCACAGTGACACTCATGTTGGGATAAGTCAAGCAAGACCAAGACCAAGACCATGACCATGGCTGGTATGCGTAGCCAGCTCTGTGTTGTGACTGCCGTGTGAAGAAGATGAGAATCATGTCCTTCACAGTTAACAGCCAAGACTTACAGATTTAACATCCAGATCCATTCTAGTTAGCAGTAATGTCATGGTTTAAACCCAGCTGGTAACTCAGGACCACACAGCCACTCGCTCACCCCTTCCTCCCCTTCCTTAGGTGGGATGGGGAAGAGAATCTAAAGAATATAAAACCCGTGGGTTGAGATAAGAACAGTTTAATACCTAAAGTACCATCTACTACTACTAATAATAATGATTAGAGAACTAATAAGGGGACAAAATAGAAAACTAAAACAGGAAAGGGAAAAAAAATAAACACAAGTGATGCACAATACAATTGCTCACCACCTGCCAACTGATACCCAGCCTGCCCGAGCAGCGACTGGTCCCTTCTGGGTGACTTCCCCTGGTTAATATACTGGGCATAATGTGCTGTGGCATGGAATACCCCTTTGGCTAGTTTGGGTAAGGTGTCCTGTCTCTGCTTCCTCCCAGCTTCTTGTGCCCCTCCTCACTGGCAGACCACAAGAGACTGAAAAGTCCTTGATCAGGATGAAGTGCTACTTAGCAACAACTAAAACATCGGTGTGTTACCAGCATTGTGCTCAGACTAAAGCCAAAACACAGCACCAAACCAGCTACTAGGAACAAGATTAACTCTATCTGAGCCAACACCAGGACAAGTAGACCAGGGGACTCCTTACACATTACCTATTACTGGCACAAAAAGGCAGTATCTCAACAAAAACTAAAAATTTCAGATTATGCTTTTGTTCCCTTGTTGCCAAGAAGGTTTTAGAACTTGATCCCCAGGGCCTCTAAAATCAAGATGCAAATCAAAATAGAGCTATGGATCAAGCAGAATTTGTGTAGTATTGTCCATAAGGAACTGAAAGGGTCTATCTAGACTGAGCCAAATACAGGGCCGTTCTGTACACCCTTTACTCCTACAAGACATACTACTTACACTTTATTCAATTTTTAAGGGGGTCCAGTGTCAATTAATTCTCATGCTGGCAATAGATTTTGTTGCCAGATCACATGCACACTTAACTAAGTGGAACAGAATTTAACAGATGCCTTAGTCCTTTGGCCCACTGATACAGCAAGCGCTCTCAAAATCTTCCTGCAACTTTCACCAGCTCTGTGTTGGCCAGGCCCTAAATTACTAAGGTGCACTGAGATCCACGGTGTGCTTGGGCTGCTCTGTGATGTCTCAGGGAGCTGCCATTAACTACATGCCTGACCAGCATCAAGCCTTTCCCACACTCAAGCTGACACAAGTACATGGTAGCAAAGGACAGTAAGTTATCGTAGTTCAGATAAAACGTTACCAGCACAGCTGTGTAACTGGCAGTTGCCCCTTTTAAATTATGAGATAATTACTAGTGCTGTCCACTCAGACCATTTGTTCGGTGGCTTTTATGACAAGCAGACTTGCTGAGGGACAAAAAAAGCCCCCAGGCTGTACACTGCTTCTGGGAACTTCATATGCACCCAGAGTGAATCAAAGCTTAGAGGTATGGCGCGCATCTTTCTGGTAAATCATTTCAGCTTATCTCGGATGCAGATGGATGCTTGTGCAGCTCTTTCTTCTGCAAATAAATAGTTGTGCTTGAAAGCAAAATCACACAGTGCCAAAAAAGCCCTGCAGGTCAGCCATGTGGAAAACCAGTCACATGGTTTGCTCCCCTAAGCAATTCACTGGTTGTCCTCAATGTAGCCAGATATCCTGCATACAGCAGTGCTTTTAACTGGTAGAGCCTCATATGAGATTTAATAAAATAAAAAATAAAATCCCTTGCAGATTACACACTAGCTTCTGACCTGAGCCCCAGAAAGAGGTACATGGGCTCAGGTAAAGTAGGAAGCATACACTCCACTCAACAAAGACATGTACATCCTCCTCAGGCAGAAGATAAAGGCATCCCTGTCGCTTTCTCATCCTATTAGATGCAGAAAAATCTGTCTTTAAAAATCTGACAGCTGTATCCTGGGCTGCATCAAAAGGAGCGTGACAAGCAGGTCAAGGGAGGCAATTCTGCCCCTCTACTCTGCTCTTGTGAGACCCCACCTGGAGTACTGTGTTCAGCTCTGGGGCCTTTGGCACAGGAAAGACATGGACCTGTTGGAGCAAGTCTAGGTAAGGGACACAAAGATTATTAGAGGGCTGGAGCACCTCTCCTGTGAAGAAAGGCTGAGAAAGTTGGGGTTGTTCAGCCTGGAAAAGAGAAGGCTCTGAGAGACCTTATTATGGCCTTTTAATATTCAATATTTAAATATTTAAATATTATCTTATTATAAGAAAGACAGGGACAAACTTTTTAGCAGGGCCTGTTGCAAAAGGACAAGGGGTAATGGTTCTAAACTAAAAGAGAGTAGATGCAGACTAGATACAAGAAATTTTTTATAGTGAATTGCTTTTACAACTGGAACAGGTTGCCTAGGGATGTTGTAGGTGTCCCACCCCTGGAAACATTCAAGGTCAGGTGGATGGGGCTCTGAGCAACCTGATCTACTTGAAGATGTCCCCGGTCACTGCAAGGAGATTGGACTAGATGACCTTTAAATATCCCTTCCAACCCAAACTATTGTATGATTCTATGATTTCAGTAGGCCAAAGGAGACAGGTGTAAATGCTCTAAAGTAGGCTGAGTCTTACCACTTTGTGAAGTGCTAAGTGAACTAGTGCACATTTTTTATGGTGCATTTTAGCTTTTCAGAAGTGGCAGACAAAAAAAAACATCACTGGGGATGAGGACAGGAGGTTGGATCAAAGATGCTTTCTATCTAGCATGATGTCCAAGATTGTCATGGTCCTGTAAGCATGTCTCTGTGCCAAAGTGTGAATTCCATTTTAGTTTGTGGATCCCATTCTGCTTTACATTCTATACTGTCACCTTCACAGTGCCGCAAGTCTTGCCCGTAGTAGCAGCTGGACACACTGGGGAAAGCCCACATGCTGGAGCAGTTGTAGTATACAAGGCCAACAAAACCCATCAATCCTGAATGTCGGCAACAGTAGGTAAGGCCACTCTTTCTGAAACTCTTACAAATAGCAGTTTACCAGATGGGACCAGAGGCTGAATCTACCCCAAAAGAGGAGAAGAATCAAAAGGGACCCTTCAATAAACCAGTAAAACGTGAAACATTCTCTAACGAAGTACGCAAGAACCATGCTGTCTAAGGGCAGTAACTATACCTGCCACTCATAAGAGGTTTTCTGGAGTAATCCATTTTTTCAAAGTCAAAATTCTCAGCACTTTCCAGACTAAAATAGCAACGGACAAGAGACTCCTTTGCAAAGTCTGTCTTCTTTTCCTCTCCCCTAAGGATTTTAGCTCAAAACCCAGGTTCCTGAATGCTGCCTGATTTGGGGTTACTCTGGTGCTCTGTGGACCAAAAAGGGGTGGGAAAACTATACAGCAGGATTCTGCTGCCTAAGAAAACTGCCTAACCACTACTGCCTGTCACTGAGAGTGCTTTGGAGGTCCTGGACCCTCATTAGTGTTACAGTTGTAACTCAACTCTATACTGGTGAAACCCCAGCTGATTCACCATGCACCCACTTTTTGCAAACAGAAGGGAGCACGTGGGCCAGCCAGGAACCCTTACACCAACAGGACAACCCACCTGAACAAGCAGAGAGACAGAAACTGCAGCCTGGTATGCCATGTTCCATATACATATCCTGAGAGACCCGTAAGTCAGAGCACTGCCTAATGACTTCCTAAGACCACGTGGTTACTGCTGCAGTGACAGCACACTGCACTGACTACAGCTGAGTGAATGCAGCTGCTCTCAAGATAACCACCCCAAGTTTCTTCTCCCTGTCTCCCCCCTGATGTCTTAACTTCTCTCAGATCTGCTGCTGTGTTAGTAACATCTTCCTAAAGAGGAAGAGGCATGGGCCTGTTTCCAACAGATGCCCTTTGCACACTTCTGCACCAGAAGTGACTGGACAGTGGTTCAGTGGAATTGCTCTTGTGTGGAATTCATACCTGTATTCAGCAACCCCTCCTGAATGCTTCTTCATGGCTGTATCAGAGCTCATTCCATAGAAGAGTTTCACCTTCTTGCCATTCTTTTCTATAATCTCTCCAGCACACTGATCATGGCCTGCAAACATTCCTCCAAGCATGACAAAATCAGCACCGGCTCCTGTGATCAGCAAAGTGACACATAAGAAAGCAGAGAAGGGAGAAGAGGATGAAAGACAAAGCAAGCACACAGTGGCCTCCAAAAACAATAGCCCTGAATAGTTTGGTACAGAGAGTCCCCTCCGGTAATATACACAGAGAACTTGGAAGAAATGCTTTACTGAAGAACTGACACATGATGAATTGTATTTCTCTGGTATTTTAAATAGAAAGAATCCTTTTCTGTTGTGATGACAAAGATACAGCTTGTTCTACTCCATCACACACTCTTTATTTTCAAACTCAGTTTTAACCCTTTACTTCATCAGTATCTGAGCACAGTTTCTTATTAACTATAACTATGACTGAGGTACCCAGAAGTTCTAATCAGAGAGGTGTGACCTGTTGAGCTCAGTGCTGTATAGAGAAGACACCAGCTCCTGCTTCAAGAGCTTTCTAGGGTACAAGCTATGTGTGGGAATGTACTCTGAAAGAAGGCGTATTCATGAATGTAATGTACTCCTTCCAACATAAACCAGATTTTTAAATTAAATTATGGGTTTTTCAAGTCCATCAGTCATGTTCAGTGTATGTCTGGATGATCTCTTATGAAAAAGATCTGGATGGGTCTGCATTTGGTTCCTGTTCTTTAAAAAAATCTGGGCAAGGAGTACCACCCCTGGGTTCTGTGGTTTTCAGCACACACCACACAGGAGTTCTAACCCATAGATACAAATCCTAAATATGTTCCAGATACAGAATAACAAAACTGAATACTCAGTTGTGCCTGTTCAGTCTGTCCATCTCCCCAGCTTTGCAGATCATGAAATCAGTTCCACTGGGAGTAAGATCAGGAAGAAGTTTTTTGGAATCACTCTTGATTTTCTACTGTGATTTCCAATATTTCCAGCTGGGCTGGAACTACTCCACCAGCAGCTCCTTCTGTGATAATATGGCATATCTAGTCTTGCTTGGAAAAGTTTAGCTTTTGCTCTTTTATGAGCCTGCGGTGACCCATCCCTAAAACAAAGCATTTTCCTGTTCAGACTCTGCTTCTTCAATGTGTTTGTGTCAGAACAGGCCTCCCCTCTGCTCAGCTTCTTCCCAGAACTGGCGAAAGAACATGGCTATGAACCTACCATCATAGAAAGCAGATGAGCCTGAACTAACCCCACCCCATTATGAACATATCTGAACTCTGCGGAGATCCCAGTCTAGGTAAGTCTAGCATTAGGCTCTGATCTCTCTCACTATCCAAACAATAGCACTGGGCCTTGAAATCTGAAGAGTGAGATCATTATCGACTCTGCTCTCCTTCTGCCATCTGTTTAAAAGCTCTGTAGAAAAACCTGAATTTGGGAAAATTTTGATCTTGGAGTACATGACAACCGTGTAGTGTGCCAGTTCCCTCCCTCCGCCTCTTTGCCAAAGAGCAGACCTAGCAGCAATGCCTGGGGGCAGAGCACCCAGCTGCTCTGCTGACTTCACCTCCCTTTGCCTGGTCGTTGTTTGAAAGGAACAGTATGTCCATGGTAAAGCAATATTAAAAATGAGGCTGGTGCAAAACTGCTGAGCACATCACAAGCAGTATTTATAGCCAGGCACCCATTCAGGTGTCCAATCATGCCAACTACCTGGCAGATTTTTCCTGAGCTCTCTCGTTTCAGATGGCTGAGTTTTACAGCCTCAGTTTGACTCACATCTGATACTACTATTAACCTGCCAAAAACGAAGGGAATGCTCATCGTTTAAGACATTCTCAATTACTGGTAGGGAGCTCCTGTTGTTACCTGGCACAATCTTGCTTTACCTTTGCAAAAAAATAAGTACCCTGGGAAATCTAGTTGATGTCTTCTTCAGGGGTAGAAGAAAACAACATGAGGAAGAAGGGATGGATCTGGGGCCAAGTTTTCAAAGAGGGCATTTAAAACAAGTCAAAGGCCTGCCAAAGGACACTCTGGACTCTTTGCCTTGTTCATACTATCCCCTGACCTCCAGTCATAATCCTGTCTCTGGCTGTGGGTCTCACAGCCTCCAAATTATTAATGCAAAACAGCCACATGAAATCTACACTTCAGAATCACAGAATTTTTGTTCCTGTGCACTTCAGTATCTATTATTTTTCTTTTGACTGCATATTTTGGGACAAAAGCAAGTAAGCTTGAATTACAGGATTGAAACTCATTTGACTTGAGTAGCTTGCAAACTAGAACGTAATTCATCAAGCTCTTCCAGATGAGAGGAGCTATGTCACAGCAGACACAGCACATGTAGACACTGGAATGACACATGCTTATTGCCCTGCAGCTCCAGGAATAACAACCCCATACTAAATATGCCATCCAGAACCTTCCACCCTGCTTCAGTATTACAAAAGTTTCAAGTCTGTTCCACTACTTTTCTATCAGTTAATATCCAACCAGGAAGCTGGTTTTCGTAGCATGTTCTTTCTTCTGCATAGTTTTTTGTACGACCAGAAGCTCTAGTCATGCTTGTGACACCCAGCTGCAGTCTTTCAAGTACAGACAGACAGCGTTCCTTTATTTTAGGTTGTGGGGACTGAGAACACCTGGCAACAAATCCCTAGATAATACAGGACGTGATGGGGTACACTGCATACAAGCAGCATCAGCTTGCCCAGAGTTTGCTAGACTTGTCCTCTTTCTACACAATGCCACTTCAATGCACTTTGATGCCAACACTGTATCTAGGCTGATTTTGCTCATTCACATTTCACAGTGCCTTCTCTTTCAAGCCATTACAAAATATGCATGCTGACGCCAGCACTCACACAGTTCTGCTGGATCTGGATGGAGTCCCTGAGATGTCTTTTGTACGCCTGATAATAGAACTTAGTGATAACCAGCTTGGCTCTGCACAAATTCAGCTGGAGTCAGCCTTGATTTGTGTCCTGGGCAGCCCTCCAGACAGATGCAGTGTAGGTTTCCCTGGACCACAGCTGACCCTGGAATCAACATTCACCTGTGCTCCAGCTGAGCCAGCAAGCCTTTGCAACAGTAGGTATACACGCACAGCTAATGAAAACAACAACAAAAAAAAAGCCAGTATGATCTCTCAGGTATATTTCAGAACCAGTATATGTCCCCAGTTGACTTTTCTGCATGCTTTTTAATTCCTTTTCCTTCCCCGTTCCTGTATCTCTTCTCACCACTGCTGTAAGGAACAGCAGTATTGTGTTAAAGATGCTGGCGTAGGATTCAAAAGGCACATTCTGTTCCTGGCTGTGTCACAAAAATATATGTGACCTCAGGCAACTGAACTTAGTATTTCTATGCTTCAACTTCTCATCTTTAAAAAGGGAGATAGTAGTGCCTCCCTGGGGCATTCTGAGAGATGTGTTATCAGCCTTTCCAAGAGTGTAGTTATGTGAGCCAAAAGCCCCAAACAAAGTTGTTCCATGCTTTCTCTTGTTCCTGCATCAGAACACCTTTTTTCTCCCTGATCAACCTACCTCTTTTCTATTATCATCTCTAATACCCAGATGGCAGCGACATCTTCGGTTTGCCAAATCTATACCAGGTTCCCACCAGCAGTTCCAGAATTCCAGCCGCCCCTTCAAAAATATCTGTCACTCCTGGCATTTTTGTTTCCCACCTTCAGTGCTTCTCTGTTCCTTGCCTTTTTAAATAGGCTTCTACCTCGGTTTCCTCTGTCAAAATGTCCAATCTGCCTCTGACTCCTGAGACCAGTCAATCTACTTGTAAAGCTTCTCAGCAACTTCTTCATCACAGCTCTTCACCTGCACTCCACCCTACTACCCTACTTCTCCTTTTCCCATGAACTTGGCTCCTCCAGTCACATCTTCAGCTATCTTCCAATGCTAATCTTCGCATCTGGGACTCCCTTATGCTTCTTATTATTCGAATGGCTGCTTTGTCACTCCTTTATAATGAATATCTCAACATCTCTTTCATGAAGACTTTACAATGATCCACTGAAAGAGACAGTACAATCACTTTAACCCAAAGTCTTCTTTGGGTCTCTTGTCCATGCTTTGTCCAGGCTTCCATCCCCAAGTGAAATTGTACATCTGTGTGTTTTATCGCTTGGTCTCTGCTATCCAATATATTTATGTAACTCCTCCCTGCAAGAGGCTCTCAGCAAGCACAGAGGTCTGTGCTAGACAATTCAGTATCAATGTTAAAGCTTTGACCTGTAAATGCTGGGCAATAAGGCTATCTTCTACATGGCTCACATAACCAATAAACAAAGTAGTAACATTATCTTGAAGCTTATTTTGCCACCCACCTTTGACAAATGTACACCTATCTCCAGCTAGTCATATGTCCACAGTGTGCCTATCTCAATTATATATAACCAGATTAGTAAATTTATTGCCTCAGGGTAATCTTTATCAAGCCTTGTACCTGTGACACACAAGTCAGACTGATTTGTCTGCCCTACTGTCAGAACAGAACTACTGCCTGTATAATCTCAGCTTTCTGATGCTCTTCTGTCCTGGGACAACTTGTGGTAGCCTTCAAACATATGCCACTGTGAATCCCAGCACCTCCTGACAATCAACAGGGCCCAGAATCTACCCTTTCACAGGTTTGAAGCAAGTTTCTATTCAGTTAGCCCAAAAAGACTACAGGGACCCTTCAGACTTGCTATAAACATCACAAAGGAAAAAAAAATTAAACAATCTGAAGTTGCTTCATGTTGTTCTAACTTCTGGAAATGCTCTTGTTGAAGAAAAGACAGGAACATGGGCCATGTTCCTGTGCAGGCAGCTGGGAATGCAGCGAGGTCAAAATCTCCTTTCACAAGCTTCCCGTGACACCACCACCGGCAAGAACCACGCGAGCTGCGAAGCCAGAGAAAGGCAGAATAAAGGCCTCATTGCAGGCGGCATGATGTCAGAGTGAGCTGGGCTGAGGAGTGGCTGAGTGTTTTTTTAATGCAATCTTGTTGTCAGAAAGGGTGGATGCTGCTATTCAGCTATGTCAGAAATCACCCAACTGCGAGTATCTATTCCCTACGTCACATCACCCACTGGGTAACATGAAGGTGACGTGAAATCCTGTGACTGAGCAGATCCATCACTGGTAGCAATCACTCCATGGCTGTGCTTAAAATTTTCCTATTTAAGACTTCCTTGTCATCTGACCTGTCTAAAAACAGGAGCTGTCTGCAAACTTAGATTTTGGTTTCAACCTTTCCAGAAGGCCCAGCGTTTTTCTTGGTAGGTCTGCAACCCGAGTTTAGGCTTGCCCCTGCTTCCCCTATTTGCAAAGCTTCCTGCCAAGCAGACATGCTGTATCATAATGTACTCTCTCTTGTATCATATCCAATTATTTCAGTGATCTGAAATCTCAATGAGAGACTGTGCTGTCCTGCTGTGTTCCAGGTATTACCCCACTGCAACATCTCCAAAGGGTCTGGCATTTTAGGGACTAGGGACTGTCTTTAAATATCCTGTCAGCCCAGGATGCATGTAGCACCTGTTTCACATATGCTACTGCAACAACGTTATGGCTAAGTGACAATCCTGACCTTGACTCCCCCCACTCATGTAACTTGCATGCCCAAAAGAAACCACTCACAGATTAAATTCTCTATTCTATTAGCAAGAGCTGGTGCAATTCACTGAAGCTACTGGCATGAGAGCAAAATCCGTTAATTATTAACTTAGATATTTTAGACATCTCAACTCTAGGGATACAGCATAAATAAAATTTCATCTTTTCGACTGGACAACTGATCCCAAGAACATCTCCAGGGATCTGGCCTGCCTTTTTGTTTTGTTCTTCTGTCCAACACACATTCCACCAGCTTTTTGTCCATTCAAGGACCAAGTCAGTCCAATCTGGCAATGTTACAGGCATCTTTGAACCCTACTCAGAAGAAGCCCTTATCAGTTTTCTTTGCATTACTGTCCCAGTGCTGTATCTTGTGCACACCTGGCAGATTGTTTCTAAATAGGACTTCGACCACTGTATGTTTTGCACTGCAGAATTTGGTCTGGCCCAAAGAGTAAATTCACGTCTGGTGTACCAATTTCACTGGAGCCACCCACAGGGACAAATGTAATCTACAACTGGTTACACATTTAGGGTGGAATGGCCTCCTGCACCACTGCTGAAGCTGCTGGAGACACGCGGGGTGTAATGGGTGGCACTATGCGCTGTCCTTACCAAACGCTTTGGCGACATCTCCTGGGCAGCTGCATCCTCCATCCTGCGAGAGAACACACGACAGTGAATGACAGTGAGCTCACTCAGGGACCCAGGTGAGCACTGGCACCCTGCAACCTGCAGCAGAACGGTCGCTGCTGAGGAACAGTGTGTCAAGAGCTGACTGTGCACCACTGCTATACATCCATCATCTTGGCTGAGCTTTCAGAGAATCCATATGATCCTTTCCATTGCTTTCCTTCTTTAGGCTCATTTACTCTACCGTATAGTCTACCACTAGTAATAGCAGCAATTCAAATTCCTGACTGCCATTTCCTAAATCATTCCCTGCCATTTTAATGAAAGGTTGTGTGATGCAGAGGTACCACAAACCCCTACCTTAAACCACCCAATACATTTAAAACACCTTTCTCAGCAGTTCACAATACATTAAAAGGTCACAGGGGGAGGGGTGAGGAAATATACCACCAGCTATGTTGGAGTTTGATCTGATAATCTCTAAGCAAATTGGGCAATCTAATCTTTGGTAAGTGAAAATGAATCTCTCATCAGACGCCTCACTTTTTGCTACAGGCTTCGTAAAGAAACGACAGCACTTGGAGATCTTTAGCATTTTAGACCTACGTGTTTCAGTTTCAGTGCAAAGCAGCTGATGAGGGGGGTTCAGTTGAGGGGAGGGAAGTTACATATGTGTGACAGGCCTGTAAAAAGAGGAATGGCACACAGCATAGCTCATCATGTACTACAGCTCTTTAGGGTTTGTAAAGGTGTGAGCATCGGATGAAAAGATCCTTCTACCCTACACTGCCATTATACCAAGAGAGCTCCCCATTCCTTTAATGATCAGGGCCTGTTGCAGACTGCCAACAGCTCTCCTGCTTTTGAAGCTACTCCTCAGACTCTACAGTTACCTCATTTTGCTTCACCTCCCTGTTGGCAGAAACGCACGCCTGTGTATGACCTGTGGCTGAGCACAGCCATACACCTCCACCATCAGCCATTTTAGAGCTTTCTTGGGTAGCTGGCAGTAGGGCTGAGCATTAGAACCTCCCTGTGTGCAGAGAAGGATTCAGACACAAACTGAGCAGGTGGATCCAAACCTGAGTGACTTTTCAAAGGGCATCCCACTGCAAACAGCACGCGGCAGAACTTTAAAGACTGCTATTCCATTTGCTGATAACCTCTAGCACATTATGCCTTTTGTTGAGCTAGAAATTCTTGCTGTCAGCTCCAGAAAGGAGTGCTGGGCTGACAGCTGAATCTCTCTCCTGTCAAGGGCTCGGCTTGTGCAATTCTTTCCCTCTGACAAGTTTGTCAGAGCCTGGAGGAGGGTGTTAGTGTGTGTGCATGTGTCAGGGAAGGAAGAGCTGAGATAGAAAGAGAGGTCTAATAATTTTCAAAGGATAGTGTCAGGTGTTTGTGTGACTCTTACTGTCTGACTGAGACAGGCTGGCTATGAATGCTCTCCTGTAGATGGGTTTCAGTCTGTTCTTGCTGGGTGGCTCAATGTCTGACTTTTATAATTAACCCAGTGGTGACACTGATGGAGGCTTTATGCTTTCAGAAGTACTATGGGGATGGGGGCCTTTGTGTGTAATCATTAATCATCGGCTTCAGAAAATAGCACTTTGAATGTCACCAAATTACAAATGCTGAGCCTGTTAAGAGACTTTCCCAAAAGCTCATCACTTACCATTTAAGATAGAAGGAGCCAATGATGATGATGATTCACATCACTTCTTTATCTGTAGATGTCTCTACTTACTTCACATAAGCAGGTAAATTTAATGATTCCCAGAAAGGGAAACAAAAAGGGGACAAACTAAGCTGTTATGCCAGAGGAACCTATATGCATTAAAACACTTCTTTCCATGTGAAAAATCAAACGCTCTGTTTAGACAGTAAGACTGTGCTTCTGCTGCATTGTCTTGGAGGCTTTCCCTTGCAGCTCAGCTTGTCTCAATAGGGGCCTGGCTCTGGATTCAAAATGACTTGTACAACTGCTGGGCTTCAGTCACAGAGTTTGGTGGAGGTTCAGCCTCTATCTCAGAGCCCCAGGGAAGTGTAGTTGTACAAATTCCCCTGTGAATTCAGGAGCACTGGCATTATTCTGAAGTAAGCCTTCTGGAAAGGCTGACCGGGGGCCTGTAGAGGGCATGATTCTGAGACAAGTGTGTGCTAAGCTGAAGGAGAGGGAGAAACAGGTTTCCAGTCAAAAGAATTATTTTAATGTGGCTATAATAATGTTACTTTCCCCAGTCTTGTTCTCTGAACATATAAACCATTTTACAACAACAAAATTTCACCTGAGGAAAATAAATACTCTATGGAAAACCAGTATGAACTGGTTTGAATATTTAATATTATATGCAACTTATAATAAGCTTATAACTATGATTTATATGTTTCAAGCAACCTTTATAATAAACTGTATAACCAGGCCTTCCTACAGTATCAGAAAACAGCTATTTATTATGCAGAAGATATGTAAAGTATGTGGCATATACAACAGTAGAAACAATACATAATGGTGCTTTTTTCTGAACTACATATACTGGGCATATTTCTGTGTTGATAGTGTTCTGTGTGGAGGAAGAGATGGTATGGCAGTAGCAGGGTGAAGAACCCCTTAGTCATCCTTTTTACTGAATGCTGGTAGCCTATCACTCAGGCAGAGTGAAGGGGAAACATGGATCCCTATCAAATGATAGACGAAACAGGACAGATGCAACACTGTTTTCCATTCCCCACATTGCTAGCTTACTAGAATACGCAACTGCCTCTCTATCCAGCAGAGTAGTTCTCTGACCTACAAGAAAAAGAAACTTTATCTCATGTAGGGTGCTTCTGAAGGAGCACTCCTGCTAAACGGCCCCTCCACTGTAACTCACTGCTGCACTTTCTCAAGGCCAATGGATTAGCGAGAATGAAAATTGAGACTATTGGCTCCCAGACAAATAGCACGGGACAGAAACAGTGCCTGTATCTTAGACAGGGTTTCCTCTCTTCTTTCAGTGAGTCATGAAAGATTAATTTCTGAGGTGAACTTTGAGTCTTAAAGATAATTTAGCATGAGGAAAGCATTTGGTGCAATGTCACCTCCCCCTTCTCTCTGTGACTCTAGAGAGACACCAGGCGTTCGCTTGGACTATCATGTTTGCCTTAAAATTGTCACCTTCTTTGCCACATACCAGCCCCCAAAGTCATATATGATTACTTTAGTAATACAAACATTTGAAATCCCAATTTGTGCTGCCATCCTAGCAGAGCTACTGCAGAATGGGTTTCTAGAGTTCTGTGTTCCTCACAGTACTGTGCTCAGCACCATCACCTCAATCTGTGAGTGAGGCTTCTTTCCCTTCTCAGGTAAACTGAGCCAACAAGACAAGAAAGAGGAGCAATTTGATGAATGTACAGGACAAGACAAAAGTGGGTGCAAGAAAAGTGCCCCAAGGGACTAACCCGTATCACACCATCAGCTATAATCTACATGAAGATAAGCTGGTAGGCTTTGAATCTTTCCACATCCTTCCTTCTACTTCCATATTAATATAACAAAAAAACTACTGGACGTCTTTTCTCCTGCCAAACTAACATAGATAGTCGTGGTAATACTCTGCCTGTAGTGGTCTCCTTTGGCTGAGGCAGAATGTGCCCTTCCTGAATCTCTGTAATGACAGTAGTGAGACATTCTGAGGGATGCCATGTATACTTGCTGCCACTATACCCAATTATATATATAGACTTACTCCCATATGGTGTTTTTCCCACAGGAGGATACCTTTCTTTTATTATATTCTTGCCAGAACTCTTGCTTGACATGCAGTTCAGCCTTCTTTACCCACTAAACACACCAATATCTACCTGAATGCTGCAGAACTCAGGCATAATATGCTCGCCCTTTCTTTAGTGTCCTCAGCTTGGGTGACAGTTGAGCTGCAGTGGTGCTAGCGACCTCAGTTACAACTGAAGGTAATTTTCTTGGCCCAGATGTTGTAGCAGATACTAAATTGCCCTCCTGCACTCACCCTGTAATGGCTAGGGGGTTGATAGGTCTGGGGTCACTGAAGCCAACGTGACCTAAGCAGGTCAGGAGTTGATCCATCCCCAAGATAGGAAAGGAGAGGAGGAATAGTACATAACTGTCTCATTTTCCAGACTAAATACATACTCCCCATTTTACTGTAAAATCAGGATAATAACATTCTTCTGAGGGTTGTTAGCAGAAAATGATTATTGCAAAACTAGAATGGGTCTCTAAGCACTACTGCTAGGATGACACCTATAGTTACCCAGCCTTCACAGTAATGAGTCTTTCATGCTTTATTGCACACATGTTCTGCACACATATTTGTAATACTGACCAAGTCACAGAATCACAGACTGCTTTTTTTTTTCTGCAAAATTCATATAGGGGAGCCATGGAAAGGAAGGAATGCATATGCATTAACAACAAAGAGTAAGAGAGATCCATCTGTAACACATACTTATTTTCCTGCTTCATTGCACCCACAGCTCCAAGCAATACAGTGAAGCCTTTGCCCATCCCCTCCTTCCTCAACAACACAACACACCCCTTTCCTCACACGGATACTAGTCACAACTGGGTTAAACAAATCAGGGCCTTCCAGTGATTTCATTCAGTGGTACATCTAAAATTCAGTGTGTGGTCTTTTCAAAGGCCACAGAGGGAGACTGCTGGCTGTGAGGGTATCTGTGAGCACAGCATGCTGGTTAGGCCCTATGCCTTCCTTGCTACCTGTTGGGATGCTGTAGGCTGCAGTCTAGCCAGGTCTGAGATCATGCTTACAGATTTACTTTTTCTGTGCAAGGTGAATCAGGTCTTGCTGATAGAACAGAAGCTGCCATTAGCAGGCAATAAAGACATGCTCTTTTTCCTCCACAGGCTAAGTATTTCCCCAGAATTTTGCGAAAACGTAAGTTGCTGAAGCGCCAGCCATGCTCAAAAGAGCCACCCCTGAAACACTCCTGCCCGTGCACAGAGAGCTCTGTGAGGATGCTATCTGAATCAATCCAGCTACTAGGGCACAGATGGGCTCATATTGTTTTACCTTGTACTCCCCTCTACTGCCTGCCTATCTCTCAGTTCCACTCCCTGGGAAAAGCCATGTTTACACTGAACTCATTTTTCAGAAATATTTTGTAGGAATGACTGTTTTCTTCCATTTGAAAACACTACCAAGCTTCCCATTCTACTCACATAACAGCCTACTCCATTCAGGGAGCAAGAAGCAGCTTTCCAAAGGCAAAAACAGGAGCCAGGAGCTCAAGTCTTTTTAAAAATTAAAAGGAGTTAGTTTCTTTACATTTACATCCCTACTGACTACCCAAGGAGCTAGTATAGAGGTCAACCAGAGATGACAGGATAGACTTTAACATGCAGAGTATTGGACTGTTTGATTCTCCTGCTCCATACAGTTTGCACAGTAGGAATCTGAGAGTAGATGGCATTTACTTACAGAGATGATATGTCCTTTCAAGCCATGTGCCGAGTCAGCACACTCAATAACAGCACTTAGCTGTGGATAGCCCACCCCTGTCTTAATCCGAGTGGTACACACAGAACCTAGACAAGAAAATGAGAGTTAAAAACATTGCCCATAAGGCTGACTGAAAAGATATATCTTATTTTTCTTGTGGAAAAAAAATGTGTTTCTATCTGTAGTACTTTTCCCCTCAAGAAGTCTCTACTGCCAGTGTTGGCTTCTCAAGGATAAAAGGAACACACAGGAACTTCAGGTTTGAAATGTTACCACACTGCTTCATGGGAGCTGTAATTAAGGTGACTTAATATACCCCCTTTCTTCCCCAGGGACATGCTTCCCAGTTTAGGTCTCATGCATAATGCTTCTCACTGAGGGGATCATGCATCACAAGACATCAAATCTGAATAAGGTCCATGAACAGAAAGGGGACAAAAGAACCAGAGTGACATGCCTGAGACTAAGCAGCAGTATTTAATACCTGAATATTTCTTCCAATAAACATTTATATCTCCTTTCTATGTGTGTTTTAAAAAATAATTCTCAGGGAAAACCTGTGTTTTTATTTTTTGTGATGATTTTGCACGAGAGAGAAGAACCCATCTTTCTGCCTAATACTTAAGCAGAAATATTTGGTTGATCACAGTAGTTGTGAATATGAAAAAAAAAGCATACAGCATTTAAAAAGTGAGATAAGTAATCACCCAAAAGCTATATAGTGTAATATTACAGGAAATATACTAATTACAATTGATTAAACTATATTTTTATACACATACACGATGCATGTATATATAAAAATAAAACTATATACACATATATAAGAAACCCACTTCAATTATGGTTCAACACGGTAACATGTCTATATGTCTTTTGGAATACCTTCTCTATTTTTCTCCTCATATTAGGAGTCAAAATGAGAACTGCTTTTTGCCTGTATGGGTCTTACAATTTAGGATACAGACCATAAAGTTCTGAATGAAAACAAGAATTTCAGAACAGATTCTAAACCAAATGCAGTGAAATCTGGATCCCTTCACCCAGCTCCAGGTATACCTGAGCTACCAGTAAAGTAAATTTCCAAAGATCTTTCAAAAAACTGATAACATGAAAACACTGAGAAATATTTCTGCAAAGAAGGATGAAAATTAGTTTTAAAATAATCTCCACAGGGTTATGTACTTATATATGCGATGCTTTAGAATAAATCACTGCCACTTTCCACAGGATGGACAATTATCTGGAAAAGAGGTCAAGATCTGATCTTCTGTGAGGAACATTTGTTACTTATTTTGGGTGGTCAACTTGTACAGATCTGTTCAAGAAGATCTCCAGGGAGGGCTATACAGCACTTCTGTTTCCACTTTAAGGCTACAAGCTGTGATAATTCTTCTTTCACATCTGAACTTGCCTATGACAATTGACAACTCTGCTGTTCATTCTTCATGGATTTTGCAGTATATATTGTCTGCTGTCTTCCTGGGCACAACTGCAACTTTTATTACATTTGCTCTGCTCAAATTATCAATTCATGGACCATAACTATTTGGCACTGTAAAGTAAGGAATCTGCCTGCACTGCACTGGCTGATCACAGCTATTCTGTAAGTGGCACTTGTGTTAGCCAGTTTAAAATCTAGCCCACATATGGTGACTTCAGCTGCAGTCTAAGAAGAAAATTGCAAGAGGAAGAAGCACATGAAGAAATGCACAAGGGAGGGAAATTAAAAAAGGGAAGACAATATGGCAGTATATGCCACAGAACAATATTAGGGAAGGGAAGGTAGGAAAACCAAAAAGTTTAGGGTCCTCCCATTTACCCATGGGAATGTTGCAGTGATAGGTACATTAATGTAAGCTTTAGCTCTCAGGCAATAGTAATAGATAGAGGCAACGGCATCCATACTTCGCAATTAATACTGTTTCATCTTTTGAACTGATGAAGGCATTGACAAGATGGGCAACCTCAGCTTAACAGAACACAAACCATATAGCTATTCAGAAACTCTTTTATCTTTTCTTGATAGAAGTGGATACCTGAACAGAGTATCCTTTGAGCTTTTGCTGGGATGACTCAGCCTCTTTTCAACGGGCTAGAAAGAGTTCCTAAACACAACACATTATGAATTATAACGTCAGCATCCCAGGCAATTCAGTGCTTCCAATAGCAGGCATCTACACTGCCAGAAGATGCAATATGTAACACTTTGCAGTACAGATCTCTAGTATGCTGTTCATGTGTATCTTAAACATGTGCAAAAGCACTGTTACTTATTGACCCAACTGGGTCTAGGCATCCTAATGGGCAAGCAAAGAGCATTATACACTGGTTCCATCTAGACAACTCCTTGTAACAGTGGTAACAGAGGGTCATGAGGATGACATGGTGGCTAGAGCACCTCCCATACAAGGACAGGCTGCGAAAATTGGGGCTGTTCAGCCTGGAGAAAAGAAGCTGCATGGTGACCTCATAGCAGCCTCCCAGTATGTCAAGGGGGCCTAAAAGGATGCCGGAGAAGGACTCTTCATCAGGGGCTGTAGTGACAGAAAAAGGAGCAATGGGTTTAAAATTAAACAAAGGAATTTCGCATTAAATATAACGAAGAAGTTCTTTACTGTGAGGGTGGTGAGGCACTGGAATGGGTTGCCCAAAGAAGTGGTAAACACTCCATCCCTGGCAGTGTTCAAGGCCAAGCTGAAGAGGACCTTGGACGACTTGGTCTCGAATGAGAAATCCTTGCTCATGGCAAAGGGGTTGGAACTAGATATTCCTAAGGTCCTTTCCAACCCTAGCTATTCTATTATTCTATGACTGGATTTGACTTACCTGGTCCGATACCCACTTTAATAATATCTGCTCCAGAAAGAATAAGTTCTTCTACCATCTCTCCTGTCACCACATTGCCTGCCTAGACAGAAGGAACAGTATCACATACATGGTAGATTTCAAGACTACTGCAGAAAAGACTAATGATGATAATGTAGGGAACTATGTAGAGTCAGAAAGAATACCGTTCACCATACTGTTTGTTCATTGCGCATGCCAGAGAGATTAAACAAATCATACAGGTACATTTTCAAGTCCAACAGATTTCATGATTGGTCCAGTTAACCCTGATTCTTAAGATCCCATCAGTATATCTGCTTTATCTTCCATCTCCCTAATCCTCACAGAGAGGCTCTCAACCACACCATTCCTAACTGTAAGGGCTATACAGCCAAACTTCTCCCTTACACAGTACAACTCCCCTACCTCTCCTGTCCTGCCTATCCCTCCTGAACAGCCTATAGCCTCCATCCCATTTCCCTACCTTACTTAGTGAGAAAATGTTCTGATCTTATTTTAAACCCTGTCAAATCTCTATTTCCTTTAGGGTTCAGTATTTTGATTACTGAAGGAGTAACAAGGTATTATTCCTGCCATTTTGTACACTGGCGGCAAAACTGGTATGTATATTCAGACTATGCAACCCTGCCCTGACAAGTGGTCATGCTTAATGCTGCAGAGAAAGGCTGTCCTGACAAGAAGATGCTCCCTTTATCCTGCCCCAGAGCATCGTGTCTGCTGCACTGCCAGGTGACACTCTGACATGGGGGTGACATGGCCCCCCATGTGCAGCCCCATCTGCTGTGGAGATTTGAATTCAGTATCTAGAGATGCTCAGAAAACCTCTTACGTAATGATATTCCAGGACTGAGCAAGTGTTTGTAGCAGTACTAATATGGGAAGAGCAGGAGGCAGATCCTAAAATCCTTACTTTGTATTTTCTAAGTTTTTATTGAAACAAAACTGCTGAAGTCAACAGGAGCTAATCAGGGAATATTGGTAAAACCTATTCTCCCCTCACTGATTTTTGGCTCTTATTTCACCATTTATTTGTTTTTACTGAATTTTACTTCCCCCTTTTATTAGTCTGAAACAGCTGACAACCCACCATCTGAAGCACTTATAAAAACAATGATACTGTTAGGCAGCAATTTGTGGTCTATGACACAGGACCACTTAACTTTGCTCAAAACTGCACAATATTGATTAAAAATAAAATGAAAGAAAATAGAACAGACAGGAAATAAGGAATATATAATAGGTACATTGTTTCCAGCTAAGTGCCGCTTCCTTTCTGCTCAGTGGTAATTTGGTATACTAAGTGTTGTGCACTCCAAGGTGGGGTGACAGCACACTGCTTACAACACTAAAGAAGTGATTTACATCTGGAAGACAGATGACTATCTATGCAGTATAACATGCAGCACATTAGAACTTGGTGAAATACTGGAGCACACGCAACAAATTCATGATGAGAAATGAATGGGTATTAAAGTCAGTGGCTCCATGAGATTTGGCATCAAATACGTATCTAACTTAAAACAGCAGTGTTTCTTATTAGCAGAGCACAGTGGGTTGTCAAACTGTCTCTTCAGAAATGCAAACTAGACATTTAATGCTAAGTTATTGCTAGAGAGGTTGGAACTCCATATTGTTGATTTAAAATGATTATCCTAGCAGGAAAAAGCCTTTTTGTCCCCAGCATACATTTTTTCTTGGAATGCATGTATACGCATAGGTGGTTTCTTTCTGAATCTGCAGATCCCTGACAAATTTTCAGGGAAGACATGGAGCTCTACATAGCAGACTTCAACCTGCCAACAACAGGCATGCTTCTTCCAGGTATCTTTTGCAGACCTCAGACAGCACAAAAAAGCACCACTACATGATAAGTGACAGTTACCTGTATGTGAAGAGACCCTAGTATCACAGCTGAAGAGCAGGGAAAGCCATTTTCTCACATTCAGCTGAACTCTACTTCCACTGAAAACAATGCTTGCTTTACCATGATGACAGCAGGACAGCTGAATAGAGGCAAAAGGGCTTTTGAAAGCCCCACCTGTACGGTAAAGCCAGAATACTTAAACTAAAAAAAATGTGAAAAGGTGACTATTAAAAGATTGAGACTACAGAGGCGAAAACCCCTTAAAATGAACTAAGAATATAAAGCAAGTAAAGTAATTGTAACTTGTACAAAGAAGCCACTACAGACCATACATTTTGTAGTGTATTTGGGCAAGTAGTCAGGAAACACAGTAATTGGCAGAAGTATTGTATTAGTGAGAACCATGCTCATCTTACAGCTCATGTACCAATGTATTTCTAATCTGCTGCAAAACTGACTTTTTGATACAACCCAGTAATTACCTTACTGTTAATCTAACTTTGGTACCCCTGGCAGTAAATTTAACATTATCAGTAACAACTGATCAGGTGAAGTCAGGTAAACTACCATGCTTTCAGTGTGGTCAGTTATCAGGGGCTGCAAAAAATTACCATGTCTGTGGGCTTGGCCTTACACACTCAGGGCAACATTCCACTGTACTGTCATTCAGTGTGAGGTTTCAAGTGAGTGACACCCTGGCTCATTCTAGCACTATCCAGGATGACTGTACTGTGGGTCAGTCCTGAGGGAAATCCTGGCCTCAGGAAAGTCAAAGAGAGTTTCACTACTGACTTTAATGGGATCAAGATTTCACCTAACAGGATTATAAAAGCTACAGCTTCTCTAACAGAGATACAAAATTAGTGAACACAGTAGGGCAGTGCCTCTGAATTTCAGTCAGGCATTTGATACAGTGCCTCATAAAAGCCTGCTATAAATATCGACTCACACTGACTAAGACAGCAACACTGCTGCACTGATTGAAATCTGCTGGCAAATGGCAATGGATCAAGCTGGGGAGAAGTATCTGTGACAACAGTTCTCAAACTTTCTTCTTGTATCCTAGAGGAAAGCACAGTCTGTGCCTCCACACTATCAGAAACACTGCCAAAGGACACTTCCCACCCACCAAAGCAAGGGGTGATTTACCGTAAGATGGAGAGATGATGCCCTTTGTGACACTGAGGTGGGTGTTTGCACTCAATATTGTGACTGACCCTAAAGACCCTCAGTATCTTAACTGTCCCCCACCCTGGGATCCCACCTGGCCCCTGCTCTGAGACCCCAGCCCTGGTGGACACACCATGACTGCACTGACTCTGCTGCGTGCTCCAGAGATAAACAGGGAGCAGTATGCATAGGCTTCTCTGATTGAATTCTGCCTCTACTAAGGCCCTGAAAAGCTCTGCTACTGACTTCAAGAGGAGCAACAGTTTCTGGCTCATGCTGTTTCCCTGTGCTCCTGCTTTGTGATGCCACTTGCCTCCCTCTCTGGCTCACATCTGCAGGTGCTACTACATCTGCAAGTGTGCTCCTGCCCCAGCCTTTTCCTTCCTGCCATGCTCCGCATTCCTCTCCCTAGGGTTTTGTCTGGATAATGAACAGAGAACATTACGAAAAGAGAAATTCAGGATAAAAACTTGGCAAAGCTTCCTGGCAAAGATGTCTTAGCTTGCTAAACAGACTTCCAGTGAAATGGAAGAACCCTAGTGTCTACAACTATACTAATAAGGACTACGCTTACTGTAATTTAAGTCTCTGACCCTTCATGATGAATGTCAACTGAAGTTTTGCTTTAGACTTTAGTAAGTAGGCAGAACACAAGCACATGATGCTGTGCTATAACAGAACACCCCACTGGACCATTACTCGTGATTCTGGGGGCAGTGCTGCATTCATGGTACTCTCAGGAGACTTGAATACTGCTTCTTCCTCCATCTTCAATCTAACAGGTTATTTAAGGCAAGTCATGTTGCACCTTTGTGCCCCTGATTGTCTTCTTTATCTTTTGTGTTCCCTGGAGAAACTGATCTTCTTTGTAAATTAGTAAGAAAGGCAGGAGTGTAAAGGGCTTGTGTCAAAGCCAGGAGGAGAAAAATGAGGTAATGTGATAATAAAAGCAAGTATCTAAAAAGGCAAAAACATTCCTTTGAAAGGCTGTTACACAAGAGACATCCTCCATCTGCACTAGAGTACCAGCCACAGACATTACTACGTTAACCACAGTTGCTTTGGTCATCACCTTTCAGTCTCAGAGCTGAACTCATTAAGTGGCCCCTGGGAACAGACATTCCCTGAGACCCAGGGTTGGGTTACTCTTATGTACTGCACTGCAGCTGACTGTGAAATGAATGGTCATGCTGAGGAAAGCAAACAAGACAGCCTGCAAGGTCCTGGAGATCCTTTCCATTATGAGAAACCTTCTGTATTTATATAGCTATTTAACTGCTAATCCTTTTGTTTGAAAGCCACAACAGCAGAGAACATACTGCAGGCATAGCATAGAAACATCAAAGCAGACAGAACAGGAAGGAGCAGGACATGTCTTCCAGAGTACCATAAAAAGAAGCCTAGAGAAGCTCCTGCATTTCAGCCAGGAATAGCCTCAGAAGACCATTCTGGCACAGAGCATAAACTCAACTCATTTGGAAGTGGGGTTAAGATGTCTGTCCCTACTTGAATCAGAGACTTTCAGGGACTGCACAGACTCTGGAGGATTTGGAACACAGAAGGTTTTTTAACACCCCAAGTTTGTTAGCATGCTCTTAGGACTAGAAATTATCCCTGTTCAGGACATGAAAAACATAAGCCATACTGAACCACATTCAGAGGAAGGAGCTACGATCAAAGAAGGCAACTGAAAAGGTCAGGGCTGTAGATGCACCCAAGGAGGTGGTGGCGTCAGAACAATAAGACTTGAAGTAGCAATAACCTTAGTCACAGAAACGGAGAAACTAAACAGGTAGCTCAGCAGATGTGGGAGGTGGATGAAACTGGGTTAAGGACCTTGGACTAAAATTTGGGCTAGATACCCGACTTGGACATTGGCCTCTGGGCAATTCATCTTGGCTGAGTTCCCTCCTCAGTTAGCAGTCTATGTGGAGATGGGGAAGGAGGAGACATACTGTTTTCTTTCCACTTCTAATTGGAAGATCTATTCTTTTTAACTATGTGGTTTAAGCTCCCTCCCACAACTCTTCAAGTCAAAGACACTGGGGTAATCATGTCACCAAGGACAATAATTCAGATCGAAGGCAAAGGAACAACTCCTTCCTGTTCCTTAGCAGTGAACATCAAGTTGAAAGCTCAAAAATCCTACATCTATCATTTCATGTTTCCAAAACCTCTCCCCAAAGCCATGGGAAATATGGCCATACCAAAAAGGTTCTTCCATCTGCTGGTAGCTGTTGAAGGATGCCTATTCCTTAGCTTATGGTAATCCAGAACCCCACAGGCATTCCAGCCCACTTCCATTCTCCTATGCCACCATCATTCAGAGGCAAGAACACTTCCTCTGACATGCGAGGAAGGAATGCACTCTTCCCTGAGCTGCCTGAACATGCAGTTCCCTATTGAACTAAGTCAGAGTACGCATATATGACCATTTTTACTTCACATTTACTTTAGATGTGTGAAGCGGTGCGTCTGGCATGAAAAAGTGAGAAAGTGTTGCCTAAACACATGATTGTGGGGGTTTTTTTTTTGCTTGAATAAAGGCTGGTAATCTCATGAAGAGTCTACTGCTTGTTTGAGAATTTCTGCTATTCTCATGGAACAAATTCAGACCCATTTCTTTAAGGGCCCTAGGAAACAAGCAGGAGAAGTAGGGTTCTGCTGTAAGGAGTCCTGTGTCAATGCAAACATCCTACACTCCTGGTGCAAAAAAGGGCTGAAGGAAATATGGCATTAGCACTCTAAGAAAGGATAGTAACATCACAGAAGGTACATGAAAAGCCCCAACATTGACTGTTTTGCTCCCTGATGACCCTGTCCACAATTGCCCTGTTCACAACACCTCTATGAATTTTATCATAGGCAAAGATTAGTCTACATTCAGCTGCCTTCATAGTGACCGTATAGATGAAAGAGCCATTGGCCTCTATTGGCCAGAAACGCTGACGCATTCCCACAGCAAACCTCTTGATTTGGATCACCAAAATAAACCTATATACTCTATAAGTCACATCTGGTGTGGAAAGGAGGATGCAAGTAGTAAAAAAAAAAATTGGATCTACCCAGCCTGCCATGCCACATCAAACTGTTGTATGAGAGCACACACTGAACATTCCCACAGAAATTATCAACAGTGGAAGACTGACAATGGCAACATGTTATTAAACAGCCACCATTTGGCTCGGAGTCAACATCTTGCTGCATTTAAAGGGTACTGAATAGAGCTGTCCGCACACATTTGTCTGGAAGGGTTTTGAATCAGACCTTTCTTTCCTTCTCTCTTTCCTCCTCTCTTCCATTCCCTTTCATTAAATGAGCACTCAGAGACTGATGGAGCTACCACTGAGGTGCTGATTCCTACCAACCAAACCCTGGGCCCTATTCCTGGACAGAATTCCCACACACCCCCTCAACCCTTGCTACACACTTACCATAATGGTGTGATGTGGGAACAGGGCACGGACAGACTTCACAAACTCCACAAAATGCTCTGAATAGCCATTTGCCACATCCAGGCAAATGTATCTGATAGGTGGAATGGCCTCCAGAATACTTGTTAACTTGTCCAAATCAGCTTTTCCGCTACCTGAGCTTGCTGCTACATGCTAGAAAGACAGGGAGAACAAAAGAGAGTAGTAGCTTGTCAAAACTGGCATAAACACACACTTCATGTATCTTTACCTGCATAGTCTTGGGACAACTTGTGCTGGAAACTAGTGAAAATCACATTACATACTAAAAAATAAATACCCTTCTGCAAATATTAGTATGTCATTCTGTTTCGGTTTAAGGCTCTAAAATAAAGCAAAATCAGCATTTTTATCAGTTCTTAATTCACAACAAGGTTCTCATAGGCAAATATGATCACCTGAGGTGAATGAAGGCTCAGCTGTACTCATACTAACACAAACACAAAAGAAGTCCTTACTTGGTATATTTCCAGGAAAGCAAAATAGCAAAATTTGTGGCACTGACAAGAGTGGAATCTGGGTCTTTTAAGTTCACCAAACACACCCTTGAAATCCAGAATCACAGAACAGTTGAGCCTGGAAGGGACCTCTGGAGATTGCATAGTCCAACCGCTTGCTCAAGCTACCATTTAAAACAAACAGATTTCTTCCTCCTTTGTCTTCCTGTAAGTCCTTTCCAATAGAAAAATAGTTTCCACAGCTACTGGCTCACAAATCCTCTGCAGTGACCCAAGGTCACAGAGCAAGTCACTATTTAATCACTAGGAGATTCTACTCATAATGGACTCACACAGCTATTCTTCTTAAACCAGGACAAGCCACTTCCCTTGATGCATATAAGAACAGCAAATATCTTCATTCCTCAAAACTTCATTTGACAACAATATTCCCAAGAGACTCCAGTGTATGTGAGTTCAGAACAAAGCAATAAACCATAATAATTTACAGTATGAAAATGTACCTCAAGGCATTCTGGGTGATTGGCAGCAAACAGTTTCCACTCTTCCAAAGAATAATGCTTGTGAATTGCAGTGAACATTGCATGCTAGCAAAAATAAGAAAACTGATATTAATGTCCAAGTTAGACATCTTTCCCTCTGCTCCGAATAACAAGATACCAGAAATTCCCATTTTAAGTATAGCCTCCTCCTGCTTGAAAAAAGCAGTAACAGTGAGTAACAGACAAAACCACTCCAAAGAGCTTTTCAAAGGTAACTTAGCATACTTAGCTGACCTTTCGGGATCATATTTCTGATGTGTTTCATGAAGTTATCATCAATATTTTGAATGTGCTTAAGCAGTGCAAGAAAGTAATCTGAGTCTTGAGGACAGAGGCTAGTTAACTCATGACTCCTGACTGCTGCAGCTCTATCTAGTAACGTCCACTTTCAAAAATGTTGTCACTTAATAGTTTTTCTCTGGAAGGTTTGTATTTTCACAATACAAACCTCAAAAAATAAGCTCTAAAAGTTCCACGTGAAGCTGAGTTCCACCCAAGATGGAAGCTTGCTGGTAAGCATCTCCACTAAAACTATCTTGTATCTGGAGCTGTAAAAGCACAGTTGCTTTGCAGTGAAACACCACCTTCTTGTTCTGGATTTTTTAACTCACGCCCCACTGCTCACCGACAAACATAGGTAAAAACTAACAAGGGCTGCTCACAATCACCCAGTGGCTTCCCAATTGTTGCAAAAATAGAATCAAGACTTACTTTTGCCATAACCACGGCCATTTCAAATGTCCCCACAGTGTCCATGTTTGCCACTATAATGGGAATTCCTGTGTATGTCTGTTTGGAGTTGCGGAAGGTGAAGGTCCGTGTAAGGTCGACCTGCAGTGAATAGGAACACATTCTTTTAAGAAACTGGCTGCAATCTAACACGAGTTTTGCTACTGACTTCAGATACAGCAAGTTTAAATACTGCTTCTTAATTTTCCTCACATTTCCTGTTCTTCCTCCTTTCATGCTACTATTACATCATTTATTTTGCTACAACTTCTGCCTTCCAAGCAAGAAAATACAGAAGTAAAATAATGTTTTCTGTGTTAAAGAGTTCTCACTGGAGAAAAAGAGAATAAAAATTAAAAACAAAGCAAACAAACGAAAAAAGAACACGAAGTCAGAAAGGATTGGAAAGAAAGGACACTGAGGACTGTGGATTATTTTATACAGAAGTAACCTCAGCTGTTTCTTTGGCTGCCCGAAAAGCCCAAGTTGTATTCCCAGCTCCACAGAAGTCAGAACTGGAACTCCCCCTGTGTCCCGAAAGCACAGAGGACTTTCTTCCAATCTCTAATATAAATGACAACGTAATAAAGTAAGCAAGGTTGACTACAGTTATCAGCACTCTTGCCATACAACAGCACCAATCATACCCTGGCTTATTAAACCATGAGCTACTAATTTCTAAGTTAATTTCTTACAACTACATCATCCTTTAACTTCAAAGTTATTTCTTCTTCAGCATCCTGAAACAATCAGGCATTTTGTTCCTTACATTTGCAAGAGGTAATATCAAATTTAGATCAGTTCCCACTGGTCTACTTAGCATCTTGCAAAAAGAGGGTAAAAACTCTCTAAGAAACACGCACTGTTAAGATGTGAGGTTAGTCTCTTTAGTAACAGTGAAAATGAAGGCTCTTTCATAGTTTTATTACTCCTCACTTCAGCTTTAATCCAGGAACATTCAGAGATCTGAACTGAACTGCATCACCAGAAAGGAAGCAATATAAAAAAATATAAGACTTTGATTATTCATTTACAACATGTGTTGAACACTGTCATACTGCAGGCTACACTATGATTGTTTAATATGGTGGGGGAGTTTATTCCTGATCTGTAAGAGAAAGAAGCTGGTGCCTCAGTGATATACTGTGAAATGGGTTCTCATTTTATATAAGCTCATAAGGGAAGGGTCACTTCAGTGAACAAGCTAAGATACATCTTAAAGGAGACTCATCCTTCTTTCCATTTACTATCAGAGAAGCCAAATTCTCTACCCATCACTATGACTTATTTATGAGAAGTTTTGCTGCAGAAAGCATGAGAAAATAGTATGAAGAACATAAGTATGAAACAGGTATGAAAATTTAATGCATTTTGCTTCACTTTAATCCTATTTATTAACTAAAACCAAGGGAAAAAAAGAGAGTATCACATAACCAGTTTTACAACAGCACCAGAACCACTGCTTTACATTTTTACAGGGGAAAAATATCTCTTTCAAATGAACTTAAGAAAGTAGAGAAAAAGAGCACACTGAAGAAAGGAGTGAGGCAACATGAAATCTATGGAAGGCCATTACTCTTTCAGTGACTCTTACCTCCACTTATTCTAGCCTTTAAATGATTTCTTTTAGCCAGATGTCCAGATGGATTTTGTGCAATTTTTAACACAACTGATAATATTGCAAGAGCAGGCATTTATGAGGGATAACTGTGGAGTATCCCCTAATGAGGCTTTTGGTTTGTAAGAGTAGGAGAAATGGCATCCTTGGTTGGAGGTATTTATGGGGTGCCCTCGTTCTCCAAAGAGCCAGTACCAGATATCTGGGAAGGGAACCTAAGAAGAAGTCAAGTTTTGAAAGACTCTTTTCATAGCCTACCTTCCCAGGTCCCAGGAAGCTGATGTTTAGAGACTTTCAAAGACACAGGTCTCCCCCAGTCCACTGTAATAAATAGCCACTCATAGACAAAGAACTTGCCTTGTGAATTTTCCATTCCTTCACACCTTTAGCCTCTCCAATACCCCACACCAATAAATTTCAAAAATGAATCATATGTTCCATAAAAACAACCTTTGCATGTTAATTTTACATTCACTACTTCCTCCTTCTTGTTTTATGACAGTCAATAGCCACTTCTCAATTTCACCTATTCCATTCCACTCCTCACTTCACAGCCTTCTAGCATATCCTCCACAGCTGCTCCTTCTACTGAACAGTCCTAGTGTGTTCTGTTTTTATCTCATGTGGAAACCAGTCAATACTGCTGATCATCCTGGCTGCCATTTTCTGCACCTATTTTAACATATTATGCTGTTCTTGTTTAGTGATCACCAGAACTGTGTGCTCATGACGAACATACTGGGGAGCATCACAAAGCTAACTGGTTTTCCTTAGTTCCTCTAGAAGCACTTTGGGCCATCTCTTTGTCTCCTTCCTGAGCAGCAACAGCTAATTTATGGCTTGGTGTTCTATGCATCATGAGAAAATAACTTCTGACTCTAGGATTTCTCACCATCACTCAACAACAGTAGAATTTTCTTCAGAAAGAAAAAAAAAGAGATTTATTTCCTAACTCCTACCTAGATCCTCAACATAAGAAAGTACTGGGATACTGGCTGCTCTGTTAAAGCTCCCTGGACTTATTTGAATTTACAAATTTAGATTAATGACTAGACTTTCCACAGGACACTTGTTTGGTGAATGGACAGCCTGCAGCAGCAAGTCCAGCAAAGAGAAGCATAGAAGGTATGTGAGTACCAAGACCCCACTGACAGATAATGCTGCTCCAACTTCAATCATTGCTTTAGCCAATTTTGACACTTGAATTTAGGCTTCAAATTTTCTGGTATCCTCTCAAAAAGAGAAAGTGATCATTGAAAATGAAGACAGTACAAAGAATCAAAACCAAGTACCAACACAGTAGACCTTCAAGAAGAGCTGCAAACACCCCAAACCGCCTCTCTATGAAGCTGACTTAATCCTAGTTACTGCATAAAAAGCTATCCTTGCACAAAACAAGGCATTCACACCAGAGAAACAGACGCTTGCTGATACAAGGTTCAAAGCAGCAGCTTGCTGGGTAACAGGCACGGTAGTGTGCTGCCTCTGTTCCTCTGCCAGAACTATTTATTTATATTCTTGTTTTGAAGCAGACTGAGGCTGTCCGTTTTAGATCTGGCTTTCACAGACACTGTTTATTCCTGTTGCTACAGCCTCTGTGATGGTATCCAATTTCTTAACCTTCATCGGTTTTCACTGACCCGCCTCATGACATGCACTTTTTCTCATGTGAAAAGGGTTTAACAGTTCATCATACCCACCCGTTACACCCCTGCCATATCGGCTCGTGTTCCTCCTATCGTTTTCCCTTCCCAGCAGCCCTTCTTTCCACTGCCTGCAAGAAGCTAAATATACAAGACACTGCACTTGAAGGAGCCATGTGTCACTCGGTGGAGCATAGCTCCACCTGTTTGCCAGGCCAGCACACTGAATTTTGAAGAGAGACCAAGCAAATTGTCAGAAATGGCCTGCAGGCCTTAAGCGCAGTTAACTGCACCAAAAGAGAGGAGTTACTCAGCTGGGACACCGTTCTTTGTAAATTAAAAACGACTACGAGATTACCTTTCTACCAAGAGGGGCTCTCCAATGGCAAACACTTTCATAACTGCAGAAAGTGTTGCTTAGTTGTTGCGTTCAAAATCCTTTGCGATAAGCCTGTAATAAACATCGCTATCCTGCTTCCTTTTCCAGTCTTGTCTTTCTTACCTCACCTGATTTGTCTCGGTCTCTCTCACAATTCTGCTTCCCCTGGAGAAAAGTTTAATCCTCTTTCCATCCCCCAACACGACGTAATTCCTTCATTAGTCAATCTAAATCCTTTGCTAACCTTGGGGTTATGTGAGGTAAATGAGAAGGCACCTTCAATCCCGAGGCGGCCATCTTTTTTTGTAGAGGCAATCCTCAGGGGAATTCCTGGGGTCTTTCCTGATCCCTGCTCACAAGTAACTACAGCAATATCCCAGCTAACAGTGGCCCCGGGCCACCAGGTACTCTGAGCCCCAGGCAGCCTTGGTGACAGAGGGATGGCTGGGATATCCCCACACAGCAGAAGGAGGCAAGGTCATGGGGGTTAACTCAAGTGAGTGTGAAACGCACCCCACATTTTCTCCTGATGGGATCCCAGCCCGGCGTACGCTGTGCCGCGGGAAGCACTCCCCAGCATCTTCGCTGGTTGTATTTTTCATAAAGAGCACGTCAGTTCCTCTGTAACAGCACTGTCCGCGACCCCCGGGGCTGAAAGCGAAGGTGCCCGTCACTCCGCATCTCCCGCTTTTGCGGCCCAAGCTGCGAGGCGCATAACCGGACAGCCCCCGGCCCGGAGGGGGGCTGGCAGAGCTGCCGGTTCGCCGCTGCCCCCACGGCAGGCGGCCCCCTAGAAACCGGAGATCACCCCCCGCTCAGCGCCGCAGAGGCACCTGTCAGGAGCAAACAATCCGCCCTTCTCCTCTTCCCCCCACCCCCCTCTGTATGTTTGCTGAGGAGCAGGGGAAGGACAGCGCGGCACCAGCTCCAGTGCCCGCCGCTTCCAGCTCCGCCGGGGCCGCGGCTCGCCTCTCCAAAGGGCGGGGTGGGGGACACACACACCGCGGGCTCCGCAACGCTGGCCTCCTCCTCCCAGCAGCGGCGGTATCCCCCCCAGCCACGTAGAGGGCGTTTCGCTCGGGGAGGGCATAGCTACGTTAGAACGAAGAATAAAAATAAAGCAGGGGGGGAGGGGGTTAAGGAAGTTAGGCTCTGAGACCGGGGAAAAGCATGCTGGGTTCGAGTGCCCCCACCTCTGATCGGCTTTTGAGGCTGCTTCTTTTAGGTCTGAGCAGGACATCTTTAAAGTCCAGTTTGAGGTCTGCGTCTACCCGGGGCATCTTGCTGGGGTGGCGGGGTGAGGGGATCGAGGCTCTCCTGGCGGCGGTGGCTGCGGTCCCTCTGCGCTTTCTCCGCTCCGCTGCACCGCGCCGCCTGCAGAGCCGCACCGGCCAAAGCCCGCGGGCAGCGCAAGAAGCCTATTTATAGGGCTCGGGGAGCGCGGCGGCGCGGCCCAGGCCCCATCGCTTTATGAGGAGAGGGTTGTTTTTAGCTGGGTAGCCGGCCACCCCTTGCCCTTTATCCCGCCGCAGCCACCCCTGCGTCTCCCCGGGGCTGGGCGCTCTGTGTGTGGCGATGGAGGAGGGGGGGAAACGGGGACAGGGCGCCCCTCCGCAGCCGCCCGTGAGGAGCGAGGCGCGGGCACCACCGGCAGCACAACCTCCTTAAGGGCAAAGCAAGGGCAGAGGAAATGGCAACTCCATGTGACCGAGCGGGCGGCCGCCGCGTGTGGGAGCCCGGCGCTCCGGGCGGTCGCTGAGGGCTGGGCTCACATCTTGTCCCCCCACACAAACCTTTCACCGCCCCGGGCGACGGTTAAGGACCGACGGTTCGGACCAGCCGCCGTCCGGAGCAGGGGCGGCCCTGAGGCGGCCTCACCGACGGAGGCTGGCGGCGCTCCCCAACGTTTTTAGGGCGGCTGCTGCACGGCCCCAAACTCTGCCTCCAACGATGTAACGGGGCAGCCTTTGGTCTCCATGGGTTCTGGTGGAAACCCGACTGGGCCAAAGCCTGGCCCACTCCCTGACCAGCATCCTCTGGTAGAACTGAGCGTTGCCCAGCTCCTGGGACTGTCAGAACTGGTTCTCACCTGCCTGCAGAGCAAAGGGCTGGTACATGGTTTTGGCATTATAAACGCTGAGAAATGTGCAGCTGGTTGGTCATAGGAGAGCAGCCACAGCACCAGCCACCTGGAACTGCCTCTACACAACAATCTCCTATTTTAGTACGTTTAGAGAAGGAACAGGGAGGGTTTTTTTTTTCTTGCCCTCCATAGCATGGAGGAGCCTGACTTGTAACTTTATATCATCTGTTTTCAATGGCTAGCCACTGTTCAATATGCAGCCGCAAAACCACCATAGCAACAGGGTTACACATGCTGGGTCCATGTACATCCATTGGCACAGGGATCAATATGATCAATATCATATACCAGGTATCATATGAGGTGACTTTCATGGGAGTTTTGAGCCTTAAAGTCTAATTAATTATGAAGTCAGTGGGCTCTAAGATTTGGACTTCTTTGGTATTCACATGAGCTAAGCCTTGTCAGTGACTGGAAACTGAAGCACGGGAGGGTCATGGTTAGCTTCCCTTCCTCAGCCGCATTGCAGGATGAGGCAGTGCTCTCTTCATTATCTGGAAGTTGCACACGTCTGGTCAACACCCTGCTTCCAGAATAGTTTTTACACCTCCTTGCCAAGTGTCCCAGATAATTAGATGTGCCAAATCATGAGGCCCAGGCTTTACACATCAGGCAGGGCATTTGAGTGCTTGCAGTTTTGAATGTGGTTTCCAAGAAGCCTCAAGGCTTCAAAACTCCAGGTGATGTTGCAGGAGTGCCTTGTCACTGTGGGCATTTCCCATAGCAATATTACAGTGGAATGCACTTTACAGTTAGTCTAATTTGCATAACAGAAGCCATTCACTTGGTGGGTTTTTTTCACTGACTTCAACAACATACCAGAACTGCTAAAATGTATCCTTGAGACAGATAGCCACATCTCCCAACACTTAGTGTTCAGTAATAAATTAACATTTTGTTCAGGAGCAGAGAGTACTGATGAGAATGGGTCTGTGAAAGTGACATGCCTGTAGCAGAGTATTGAGAATGGAGAAAAAACAAATGCCTTCTGTCTGTGCCTGGCACCATGTCTTCTCTTTACCCTCATGGCAGGCATGTGATGGTGAGAAGAAAGAAAGAAGCCACTGCGCTGCACTGTGAATTCAAAAGGTCAGCGCCGTCATGGGGAGTAGGAGATGGAGGCTATCAGTGATACTTGTAAGCCCCAGAAAATCCATGCCTCATGCTGTTTCTCATTTGTGGTATTTTTAGCCTCTACTCACAGAACTCATGGTGCTATTTTTCTCTATCTGCTAATATCCAGTCTTTTCCACATGTACACATATTAACAGACTAGTTGAGTCTCTTAGATCAGCTTTTGTGTTCTGGAAAATTTACGGAGTTTGAAGTCCTTCAGTTTCTTACTTCAAGATACATTTTCTGTAATTAAAACTATAGTTTCCTGTTGAAAAAAAACTCTGCCTTTTTAAGTATCCTTTCTGAAGAATCACACTGGCATCACAACCAGAAATGAAGATCACCTTGTTATGCATTTTTGCTATTCCTCTTTACACCTGCAGTCATCCCATATTACCTGTTTGTGTTATGGAATAGAGTTATTCAGCCAAGCTGTATGCAGTTTTAGTAACTACAAGCCAGTCAGCCTCACTTCAGTGCCTGGGAAGGGGATGGAACAAATAATCCTGGAAAGCATTTCCAAGCATATGAAGGAAGAGAATGTGACTGGAAGTAGTTGGCATGAATTTACGAAGATAAAAATCATGCTCAGCTAACCTGATTACCTTCTATGTAGAAGTAACTAGTTCAGTGGATGAGAAGAGAGCAGTGGATATTGTTTATTTTGACTTTGGCAAGCCTTTTGACAGAATCCCAATAACATTTTCATAGACAAACTGATGAAATGTAGACTCGCTAAAAAATCCATGAAGTGGACTGAAAACTGACTGAACTTCTGGGCTGTAAGGGTTGTCATCAGTGACCCAAAGTCCGTCTGGAGGTCAGTCATTCGTGGTGTACCAGGTTAATTGCATATGGTACTAAAAATGCCTGTGTTATCCATGCTCGGTTTTCTTCTAATTTAAATAAGAGCAATTTCCTCACTAACTCCTTGGTATTGAAAAAGGCTTTCAGTGATAACCTTAAAGTATGAGCACTTCTGAGCACCAGAAACATCTCTAGGATGAATGCTTAATAAGGTTGACATTATTTATCAACAGAAACTCTGGTTACAGCAGATGCACAGCTGACACAACTGATGGCACATGCTGACTTCCTTGCTGTGGTTCCGAGGAAAATACTATAGCCTCATGTAACTCCATACAGACATCCTGTAGCATAAATTAACATGCATGTTTAAGGAATGTGGTGAGCAGTAGCGAATGCATTGCTCAGTTGGCAAGCTCTCCCATGAACTGTGTCAATTTCCCAGCAGAATCCCATATCTGGAAAGAGCAACATACTGCAGGACATGTGTGATGGCCAGATTGGACAGGGCCTTGAGCAACCTGGTCTTGTGGAAGCTGTCCCTGCCCATGGCAGGAGGTTGGAACTAAATGATCTTTAAGGTCCCTCCCAACCCAAACTATTCTGTGATTCTGTGATCGTAAAGATCTTTCACTGTTAAGGAGAAGTCGTATGTTTGACGGAAGAGCCTGTTTTTTCTTATGAGAGATGTAAATTGCTTTTATTATTCTGTATGAATTTGGCCCTTGTTTACACTGAATAACATTTCCCAGTGGATGGATCAAGAGGCCTAACTTAGCAAACCCTGCAAATGCAAGTGGAAGATTTCTTTTGGCTGTAGAGATAAGGCTTTTTTTTTTTTCTGAACTCTCACTAGTACTACAGCATCTACACTGAGGCTTTTGCTGGCTTTGATAGCCATCAGAAATGGGAGGAGTGGGGCTGACACCCCTAACCTAACAAAGCTGTGACAAGCAGACTTCAGCTGCATGCCTGAAGATCCTTTGTTTTGAAGTGAAGAAACTCGTTTGCCATAAGTAATTTTATTAAATTCAAAGATCTTAGGGTAGACCACTGATCACAAGCTGGATCCCAGGCCCCCACTGTTCAGTAGGACAGTCTCATTCAAGGTACAGTTTACTTAGGAGTAAGTGACAGTATCCATTTCCATCTGATTTCAGCAGGTTTCAATTGCTAATTAGGAGTAATCACAGCAATTAATAATCAATGAGACTCTGACCTTCCTTGGCTTATGATACACATCTAAGAGTCTGTCTATGCTGATAAATAAAATGGACAACACCCAGTCTCTGTCCCTTCAAGGCAAGGGACAGAATGTTTCTCACATACAGCCGTTTAGATGCCATATGTGAGCTTCAAGGGGTTTCACTCATACTGCATATTGGAAACAGTCTAGTGCTATTACCTGAACTGTCCTCAGACTACCTGAAGGAGTGCTGCCTGTCTAAGTTGTCCAACAGAGCATGATATTAGATAAAGGGTATGAACTGTTGTGTGGTAGAGCTTATGGCCATGCACTAGGCCTGTTTGGTTTATTGTAGGGCTTAACTGTTACAAAAAAGGGACAAAGCTTGTTGTGTACTATCCACTGCGAACTTCTATTTCTGTAAATTACATCCAAGTTCTACATACTGTAAAAGAAAGAGAGATTCTCTCCATGGAAATTTTAAGCCATCTCACAGGTATTCTGCTGCTGCTACAGAGCTTTATATACAGAGCCAGCATCTTCTCAGTGGTGCTCACTGGCAGAATGAGAAGCAACAGGCACAAACTGAAACAGATAAAATTCCATCTGAACATAAGAAAACACTTTTTGTCCTGTGAGGGTGGTGGAGCACTGGTACAGGTTGCTCGAAGAGGTCATGGTGTCTTTGTCCTTGGAGACATTCAAACCCTGACTGGACACAGACCTGGGCAACCTGCCTTGGCTGACTGTGCTTGAGCAGGGGTTGGACTACATGATGTTAAGAGGTCTCTAGCAATCTCAGCCAGTCTGTGATTCAGTGGTTCCATACATTAGTTTGTCAGTATGGGGCATCTTCCATTGCAAAATCTCAGGTGCCTTTAAAAATTCTGCTAATGGAGAAAGGTCAGGATATTACTTCTTTTAACGCTGGTAATTGTGGATGTTTCAGTTTGGTGCGCAAAGCCTGTTTGAATAGGCACACTGCTACTGATGTATGAAAGAAACTAAAAGCACATCATTAATAAAAATAAAAAATAAAATAAATTATATAACCAAAGACATTTTCTTTATTTTCTGGGCTTTCCTTGCTATTTTTATGTTGGGTGGAAATCTTGCTACAAATTTTAGACTGGAAAAATGTTTCTAAACTGTGAGCATCTGGTAATGACTAGCTTTCAAACCCGATTTAATCTTTACTTAAGGAAAAACTTAGTACCTTTGCTGCCCTACTGCGCCATCTACAGGTAAAAAAAACCCTCCGTGTTGTTGATGTTACAAAATGTTATTTAAGCAATTAATAAATAAAAATGGAATTTTCCAGTTTTAATCTCAGTATGAGGGGGTTATGCCTTTTGTGTTTAAAATTACATTTTCCACAACTTTAAATACCTTGTATGCTTTGGCCAGGAAGTTTTGCTTCTGCAGAACTTTAGATCTTATCGTGGGAAAAACAGAAAACAAGATTGGCTCGTACCTTTATTGCATTTTAGGAGTTTAATGGGATGTAGATGAAAGCTGCTGCATTTATCAGTTGCCACACACTTTTTCATAAAGACACCTGCATATGGATTATGATTAACATCAACTCGGTTGTCACCACTATGTGTTTTTTACCTGTAATTCCTCACTGTCTGAAGTTAAAGATATTCTTAAAATGACCTAGAAAATGTTGCCTCTTTTTCCCACAGCAAATAAGACCTTGCTAAATATTCTCATCTATCATTATGATAAATTGGGAAGGCAAAATTGAATGGCTGAACTTGTAAAATATGCACTAGCTTCTGCAAGGCTGTTTAAAAAGCGAATACTATTAGCATGTGAGGCCACAGTAGCTATTAGCTTATATCTACCATGTGGTTTGGGTGCCCAGGATGTTTCAGTAACCAAAAAGGACAAATACACATGAAACTGATGGATCAAACCTCATTCAATGCCCTTCTCCTTTTTATGAAG